GTGGACATGGGGACAATGGCTATGCTAATGTCGTAACACCTTCCCGGCTTCCCATTGACTTTTCCCTCCAATCGGCCTGAATTGGGGGGAAAACAGGTCAAACGCCAATGCTGTGTAGCTGAGCCATTCCTCTTCAGTTCCTGTTTCCATGCTTTGTCCACCCCAGGGTATTTTAACTTAACATTGAATCATTTTCACTTTTTCAGTGTCTAATGTTTTATCTACAACTTTTAATCCTGCATTCTTTTGAAAATTGAAACAAAGGTACAGCAGTTCAAAGTCGTGTTTTTACACTCCCCAGTACTTTCTAGACTGTGTTTATGAAGATCAGAGATGGTGGGAGGGGATCTGTAAGCCTGTTAGCATAATCTACTCAGAGACTCTGTACATCTGTAATCTGCCCTCCTCTTAATTTCAAGTGAGGTTCAATGCTGCACAGTACTGTATTGAAAACATGAGATGGGACTCACATTTTCACTGCATGTACCATAGCTGTAATTCTACATGCCATTAACTTTCTTTATATTTATGTCATTAACTTTTACTATACTTATACTGTGAATATGTAAAAATGTAAATAACTTTTGAGACGTTACGTTTTTCTAAAGTACATTTTTTGATGCATGGACCAACAGTTTAAAGAGGGTAATTTCTGTTCCAGCAATACCCATGTTCACAAAGCATGATAAAGAAATTATTTACTAAATATGGCGTAGAATAACCCCCAACTATGAGCCAGAACCCATCACTCAACATCAGTGCCTGATCTCACTGATGAGATTGTGTCTAAATGGAAGCAAATCCCTGAAAGCTGTTATGGCAGCAAAAGGAGGGATTAATATTTTTTGCTATGCTTTCGACATATGAAATGTTCAGCAAGACACGAACATCAGTGAGGTCAGGCACTAATGTTGGATAATGGCCTGCTGTCAGTTCAATAGGGGTTTAAGTCTAAGCAGGTTTGTGCAGGCTAGTCTTCTACTCCAGATTTGGTAAAAGACACTCAGTGTTGGAAAATCTGTAAGAACAAGTCTGTATTAAGAGCTTGGGTCCCACTTTATATTGGATGTCTTTAACCACTATGTACATGCCTCAAATTAATGTACGTATTGTGAGCGAATTTGGACAATGAGTGCGCCTGGAAGGGCTGCCGCTTTTGCATGTGCTTGCCGTTTTCAATAATCATTTGAAACTTGGCAAACTGGCAGCTCCAGTAGTAATGAAAAGATTTATCTTAAACTCTGTTATGGAAACTAGCATGTATAAACCTTAATTAAACAATATAATAATCAATAAAGGAATTTATATCTGTATGATATTACGCTGTACCCACAATGGACCAGTGGTTTGGAAAATGAATGGATCATTCAGCTGCGTGCACCATCTTCTGGCAAGACGCTGGTCTTCATTCAGCGCGACCATCACAGTGCATTATGGGTATTCTCTAACTGTTGAGTGTACATCAATTGTATACTTGTAATTGCGGTGCATTATGGGATAGAATGAGTGCACTCAATATACACTGGTTTCAGACACCATCACAAATGGTTGTTAAATAGTGCCCTATTTAAGGGTATAGGGGACGATTTCGGACACAGCCCTGGTGTGCATCCAGGAACAGGGTTGGGAAACACTGTGTTAAAGTGTCAACATTGTAATTATAAATGTAACTACAAAAATACGTTTTTTTTTAAAAAAAGAAGAAAAAATGCATGTCCACAAGTATCAAATTGAATTATATATATAAAAAATGTAAATAACCCATTACATATATACAATTATTATTCATGTATTATGAGATGGTTATGTCAGTCAAGTTTGAAATGCATCTAGGGAGTAAGTGTGTCTGCTTTGAGTGAATATCTCTCATAATTATCATCGCTCTAGACGAGAGCCATTTAATGCTGTCGGAAGCTGGCGGCTGCCAAATGGGCAATATTGGTCATAACTTGCCGAGTTATGTCACGAGCACATAAATCCAGTTGCATAATACCTTTACCACTCTGCATGGTGCTCATGTAATAGATTACAACTGAGATAAGGCCATTCATAAGGCCACTTCATCATATACATGTATGTCTTTTTGTCTCTGGTCTGCAGAGCAAAATGGATAGCACATAAATTAAATTGTTGAAAGTGAAAGCTTTTTATTATATAAATATTTGACTTTAATGACAGTCAAAAAGTAGATTATTGCAGCTCTGGATATGTAATATCTGTACTGGTTGCTTTGAGCTCCACGACAACAAAAGTACGGTTGCAAAGTAGATGTTCCGGTATGCTTGTCTTGTCTATGGTCTCAAATGTGTCAAAAGGGTTGCGCCATTGGATCTGCTGAGAATTCTCTATGTCTGTGTATGTGTGAGGCAGAATGAGACCATGAACTGGTCATGTTGACTTAGTTCATTGACCAAGTTCCAACTCATCGGTAACCTGTGTCCTCAGATAAGACTTATCAAACACCACGTGACTGTTTGTTTTCAGTAAGTGTGATTTATGTGCTTCTTTAACTCCGATTTCTATCCATACTGTTAAATATGAAGGCTCATTCGGTAGTTTATTTTTTGCATCCATTTCGAATTTTTATGGTAATTGTAACACTTTTGAATCTGTTTCGTCATCCCATACACTCTGCTTTAGAAGTTTTGTATACCACATTGTAAAGTTGTGTCCCAAATGATGCACTATACATGATTCACTTATACTATGCATGGTGTCGTGAATTAATTTTAAAGGTAAAAAGATTATTTTGTCGTTCAACATCAAAGTCTGATCGTCACACCCCCTTCACTACATAAAGCAGCGACATTTGGATGCATGGTGTCCAACATTACAAATTTTTTTTTCTATTAAGTGCGCCATACTGGTATTTAAACTGCACTTTTCTTTTTCAAATTTTCAGTGCGCGAACTATAGCCTATATGCTATACAAAACGGCAAAGAATAGTGCACAAGTACATGTATTGGGACGCACCTTAAGTATGTCGTAGCATTTTCATCTGTTATTCCCACTTCACAAAAACCAGACTGATACGACTTTTAATGTCTTTTTAAATTGAATTCAAACTTTTAACATGGATGTAAACACACCTAGGGTTTCATTCTCTGTAAACTTTGACCTGAATGCATGCAACAGGCTGATATGAGTTACACTAAAGTTATCTTGACAATCTTGTGTGAATTGTCATGCTCTGAAAAAGTCTGCCGTTTCGTTGTTTTAATCGATTGACCTGTTTCTTTGAGGTTAACCATGTTCCTTATGCTACAAGGCTCTTTTCTTAATAAAACACTGGGACCGTCTCATTAAATATCTTAAATAAAGATGAAAGACTTTTGCTACTTGCTCCATCCCTCTGTTGGCTTTCTAAGTAACTTGTATCAAGCAAATTAAAGTCATTTGTCATGTGAAATTTTAATACCAAACCATGTAAATGAAGGGTTTTCTTGCTTATCCTTGTGGTGCAGCAAGATAAAACGGAGGTTTTGACGGGCTGGGACTTGTTGTGGATTACAGCTTCAGCAGATGCGTCATGAGGCTGACAGTAGAGCTGTGCTGACTGTCTAAACCCTGCGAGAAGCAAAAAGACCCCAATGTTTCGTGCTCACAATGTGCCCAATCAGCACTTAACACACACACACACACACACACACACACACATACATAGCAAGAGCTCAGTTACGTAACGCTGTTGAGTATGGACAAAGGCTCTGCAGGAGACATTGTGTGCCGTCTCTTGCTCTTTCCCAGTCTTCCATCAGCGCTTTTAAAATGAATGGTGCTCGGAGCAATGCCAGTGATTTTTGGTCTTTGAAGCTCAATATCACAAATCCAATACTCTGTTTTACTGCTGCAAGGCTTTTGGATAAAAAGTTCTTATGATTAATGATAAGCGTAGTAGCGCACTGCAAAGAATATCATAGTACAAAAAACGTGGTATGGTCCTTATTTTGAGACTTAGCTGACTTGCATTTAACATTCATCAGCTTTGAAAATGTGATATGGGTTCATTGAGTGAGGAAGACTATGGCAGGTGCTGGATTTTGGAGTTTGGAGAGGTCGTTATGATCTCACATGAGTTCAAAGAGTACTTGATTCTCATTCAGTCACTAGTGACCATTGACTGTTAAAGGTAGTGACATTTGTTCATAACACAGGCTGAGTCATCCTGTAAGTACCGTTCATAACACTGCAGACAGCAGTTGCTTCCTGTGTGGGAATCTCAATAACAGCACTCATGCATTAATTTCTTAAATATATATAAATAAATAAAAGAAACAAATACGAATCAGTGCCTCACCTCCTAATAAATTAAACCCATTCTTAGTATTTATCTATTTGTTTGTATTTTAACATTGTGTACATGACATTAAGTATATTCCATTACTGATCTGATGTTAGATGTTCATAACCCTTATTCTCATGAAGATTCTCATTACTGTGTTATGGATGCAATTATATATGTTTAACAGCGTAAGTTAAGGTAGTACAACAAATTGTTAATGTATTCTCAATATTTGGTTTGGGGATTTTCACCAGTGCACATTGAATGTCTTGAGTGATATTTAATAACACGCATCCAATTTTGATGATCCAAACTATTTAAGGCCAAATCGAAGATGACTTGTCAGCTGTTATTGAATATGTGTGTGTGGGTTGCACATCTAGATATTTCTTAGGAACTCGTGTTCCTTCAACACCCACCATTAAGAGATTCTGCGAGTGTTTGCTGGTCATGCACAACGTGATGTCTCCGTCCCGGCAGAGATTGCGGCCTACAGTCAAGCTGTGCTCGCAAAAGCAGAGGCTGTGAAAAACATGTCTCCGTTCACCTCCATCACCGCTCAGCCTGCAAAATAACACACACGCTGTCTGTCTGCAAAGCCATTACACTTTGAATTTAGTAGTCACGCATCAGATCATTTTTGTCTGCTTCTCCATTTCTGTGTTCGGTTTGACATTTTTGCTTTTTGTTTGTCTGTTTGTGTGTTTGCCATCTCAGCTTTGTACCAATGGCTAGAGGCCGATCGACAGGGCAAGGACCCAGAGGCCTTGGCAGCAGGTAAACATTATCATTAACCTCCTCACTGCTAAGCTCCCCTAAATCTATCCATTTTTGTTTCCCATTCTCTGTTCCTTTGGCACTGATTACATCGTGTTTTAAGATCCTGGATGATTTGATCTTAAGTCATGGCAAGACAGACTGCTGGTCACACTTGGTATTAAGATAACATGCTTCCCAAATGTATCTTCTGTGTCCACTTGTATTCAGACTTTGAGGAGAGGGTCTCTGATTTTTGCGACTAAATACATTGTTTATTATAATGCGTAATGGATAAAGCACAAAAATTTAAAACCACCCAACATTTCTCCCAAATTTTAAACTAACCACACAATCTTGAAATGAATAACCATTTTACACACTGTAGATTTATAATATTGATTGAAAATTTAGTATTTTATTTTAAAATTATAGATGCTTGCAAAATATTATAAAATTAACTCTTGTTTGTTCATATTAATTTTAATATTATAGAACGGACATTTTAGAGTTATGAAACCAAACAGGTTTTATTATTTGAAATTAAGTTTATTTTGATTTAACAGTTTATAAGATAATGAATTTGCATTTTGAAAGAAAATAGTTGATTTTGACTTTGCTTTTGACCATGTTGAATACCAAGTGGTAATGGGGTCATTGTTGTCATTTTAGCTTTCAGTCCTCACTACTTCCTCCCTCTTTTCCTCTCGTTCTTTCTCGGTTTGCGATATGCAGGCTCATCATAGTTAAATGTGGGTCATTTGCCTCTGCTTGTTATTTGAAATCAGTTTCTGTTTTCTTGCAACACTGATTATCTCTTGCTCCCTCCCGGTCTTGTTTTTCTGCTGTTCCCCTGCTGTTCCTGCTATCACTTCATGGGGCTATCACTTCATGGGGTGTTTGCATCAGTCTGTCTCTCTTTCTCACGTGTATTCTTGCGGCCTCAGACTCTCTCTGTTATAAAGGGCTTTAGTAGATTTCTCCTCCTCCCTGTCCTTTCCTGTTAGTTAATGCCTAGGGCTACATAGTCACATAGTCTCTCCTGCCAAATCACCGCTAGTTCACCCCACAGTGCACAGATTCAGGCCGTAACTGATCTTCATACATGTCAAAACTAAGCTGATTTGGACAAGAGTGTTAATTAGACTCTTTTTAATTACCTCACCGCACTCTTCTGCCTTATTCTGAGTGCTGTTGTCAGCTTATCAACATGCACCATCATCAGAATCGTTGTCTTGTTTATCTTTTCATGCTAACTGCACTCTCTATCTTGTTTGCTTCACATCCATTCGATTTAAATCTGTTCTTTTTAACTGTCATCAGATCCAAATCCTGCATGACACACTGTCTGCTCCTGTAATCTGCGCTGTTGTGGCAATCATGGCGCTTTTCCAATCTCTGTTCCCGCTTGTGCTTTGCTGTCAAAGCTATGGCGTTTCTATCGAACACTGCAGGCGGCATGTGTCGGCCTGTTAATGACGCCCTAACATGCACTGAGCTAAAAGAAAACAAACCGCTGTGTTTCATGAAACTGTTGCGGTCATGGAGGAAAAGAGCGACACAATGCCTCCCTGATGTTTTTAGCCCATCTTTGTGTGCTGGTGTTCTGATGAATAACGCTACCTATCAGATTGTGCTACCAAAACTACTGCTATATTTGCATTGTTTTAGGGTAGGCGTATGGATGTTAATAAAGCCTCAAACCACATGAATATAATGCTAGTACTAGTAGCATAGTCTTAGGTTGCGAACACCAGCATTACAAATGAATAGTGATTACATGACATGATACAGTACAATACATTTGAGATCAGAAACATTGTGTGTATATATTTTTGAATATTTATAATATTAGTAAATATTATTATTATTATGTTAGATGGTTTATATTAGGAATTATTGATTGTACTGTACTGATGTTTTTGCATCATGAGTGAGCGCGAGCGAATGAGTGAGTGAGTGATTCTGCATGCGTGCGCACAAGATCAGCACTATCCCAGTGATAGGTGTTGTATCTGGGTCACGCACAAGTGGATTTCTGTTCAACGTACCTGAGAGAGCTGTAGGAATCAGACTAATATTAATATCAAAGCAATGTTTGTTTAAACAAGTTATTAAGCCATCAAAGTAAGGTGTTGTCCTGCATTTAGAAATATGAAAGTTTTTCATTTTATTTTACTGTAGCTATATTCAAATACACGTGAACGTTTTCTAGAAAGGTTTAGCACTACTAAGTAGATGTAAAGCATGTAATCCTCTGTAACTTGTTCACATAGATGATTCTCAAAAGGCCTCAAGTTATGCATTTTAGTGGCGAACCCATGAAACTTTTATTAGTTTAATGCAGTATAACTGAGACGCATGGCAAACCTCTTCTAACTGAGACGCATGGCAAACCTCTTCTTTGACTATGTATAAGAATTCAGACACACTCGTACCATAGTAGCTTTTGCATTTTCATATGAATAATTTAAAAGAAGGTTCCATGCCTTTACTCTCCATATTTACCGTATTCCTTACGATTTCCTCTCTGCAGGGGAAAACTTTGATCAGAGCCCCCTCAAAAGGACCTTTAAATCCAAAGTTCTGGCCCACTACCCAGAGAACATCGAGTGCAGCCCATTTGACCAGGATGCTGTTAACATGGTAAGTGACTACAGTACTTTTAGATTTTTACCTGTTTGATTTACCACTTTGATTTATTTATTTCAGTATTGTTTTTTTACTATTTCATTTTATATATTTTATTTTATTTTATTCCTTTTCAAAAGGTGTTTTAAAGACATAGTTCACCCAAAAAATAAAAATTCTGTCATTTACTCACCCTCATGTTGTTCCAAACCCATAAGACTTTTCGTTCATCTTCGGAACACAAATGAAGATCTTTTTTTAATTAAATCTGAAAGCTTTCTGTCCCTCCATTGACAGCTACGCAACTACCACTTTGACACTTCAAAAAGTTCATAAAGAGATCATTTTTGAGTAAACTATCCCTTTAAGTGTGTTTAGGGCACATGTGCCTTTCAGAGCATGGTGAGGCTTGTCAACCAGGGTGAACTTTTACGAAATCCATCACATCCGACACATCTTAACTTGTTTTGTTTCCCTTTCAAATAAAGGTTCCCTCATGCAGTCTCAATATTTCTCACATTAGTCATTGGAGAGATCTGTATCTGCATTGATTTGGAGTGTCATAACGTGTTTACACAGACTCTCGCTCATTCTGTGGTTGCATGCAGTGATCAGCCGAGGGGTTTGTGTTACTGTCCCAGAGCATGCAGAGGTAACGAAAACCTCTGACCTATCGTTCCCGTGCAGCAAGGTCATTTTTTCCATCAGCAAACGTAAACGGAAGCTTGGCTGTAGTGACACCAGCATCAATTATTCAACCCAGCCTCTCTGCTTACGTTGGTATGGAAACGGCTCATTGTGCGTATTCTCGCTCTGTAAAGGAACACCTGAAGTGTACAGCACTGCCAGTCATGATGCCATCACATCATTTGAGCAAAAAAATTTGGAATGACGTTCCTGTTGAGTCATTTTTCAAGGCGAGAGTCTTCTCTGCAGAGGTTCACACATAAAAAAAGAAGACCGCTTGCAATCACAGAACTCCATTTTCGGTTTTCAATCCTTCAAGGCCTGGATAAAATTTCCCCAGTGATTACTTTCATTTTTCAATTCCACTCTTGACTAATCTTCTTTTCACTCCCGCATTCTTTTGTTCTCCTGCTGTCCTCTCCTTCCTTTTCTCAATCTTTTCAGTGTTTCAGACAGCACTTGAATGACATGATTTATTCTGGTGGTCATATGAACAGGTTACTGTATTCACACTGTATGTGCGAGCAGCACAATAGGAGCGAAGCAGATGCATAGGTGCAAGAGCTTCCTGACCTTTGTAGTGTAGAAAACAAGCTGGCAATGGACTGTAAACCTCTTTTTTTAGCACACTATTTTGTGATTTTATAAGCTTTTATGAAGCAATGAAAAATAGTGAACTGGTCACCTATATTTTGAAAAAATGGGGAACCAACTGCATGTCTTTAACATCTAAATATGATGTGCTGTACATCTATTAATCTAAATATTCAGCCAGTGAGAGAGACAGTACATCTTAAGCTAAGTTGACCGTTCAATATGTTTAAGTAGTGCAGAGTGAAAGGAAAAGCCATACCAGAGCATATGATGTGCCCTTACTTCATAATTCATATAGTATGTACAACCCTTACAAAAAATACTGTAGTGGTAGCATGGTACATTAATGTTGTCTATCAGTCAAAAGTTTACCCACTACTACTCTAATTATTATTATTGTTGTTGTTATATTTGCTTCAGCCCATAAGCAAATTATTATTTTTTTGCTTCAGCTCATAAGATCAAAATAAATAAATATTATTGTTATCATAATTTTTGCTCCAGCTCATACATTTATATAAAATGTATTTAAGTAACAGTAATAATAAATATAAATATCTTTTATTGTTATTGCTCAAATAACAATACCCAGCTCATAAATAAATAAACAGACTCAGGTTAGTGTTCAGACTCAGGTAGGTTCACTGCGTTTTATTTTGTTGCTGGAAATGTAAACCGTAAAATCCCTGTGTGTATCAAATTGCACAATAAAAGCAACATTACAAAATATGTAGTTACTCAAGCAATATTTTCTCTTTCTCTTCAGCTCTGCATGCCCAAAGGTCTGTCCTTCCGAACACAGCGTGACAGTCGGACCCCACAGTTCCACTCTTTCCTCATCACAAGAGAAGACGGCTCTCGCACTTATGGTTTCGTTCACACCTTCTACGAGGAGGTGACCAGCCCTCAGATCTGCTCCGCCATGCAGACGCTACTCCAGATGCACCAAGCGGAGCATAATACATCAGCGCATAACTGCCCTTCGTCGTCCTCTTCCTCCTCCTCTAGCATGGACTCTTTAGCCAGCAGCCTGGATGAAGTCGAGTCTCCTTCCTCATCTTCATTATCACAAGGGGGTCGCAGGAGCTGTGGCTGCTCTGGCGAAGGATACGACTCTGTTCGCGACACTCTATACGTGTCTAAAGCCATGTGTCTAATCACGCCTATGCCCTTCATGCACGCCTGTAAACGCTTCCTGTCCCAGATCCACCTGGCCGTCACTTCACATCAGCCACCCCCACTCCCTTTGGAAAGCTACGTCTACAACATCCTCTATGAGGTACCCTTGCCACCCCCTGGACGCTCTTTAAAGTTCCACGGAGTGTATGAACCTATTCTGTGCCAGAGGCCTGGTGTTGGGGAGCTGCCATTGGCTGATTTTCCATTGGGTGAGGCCTTCCGATTGTTAGGTGTGGAAAATCTGGTGCAGCTTTTCACTTGTGTTCTGCTGGAGATGCAGATCCTCCTCTACTCACAGGGTAAGAAATGATTGTAACTTAAAAAATAAAATTAAAGTTTTTATTTCATTCATTTCATTCATTTCATTCTCAATAATTTCAAATAATTTCATTTTTAATTATTTATTATTATTTTATTTTCAATAATTTCAAAAAATTTCATTCTCAATAATTTCATTTCATAATTTCAAATCAAATAATTTTATTTTAAATCATTTCAAATCATTACATTTACAAATCATTTCAAAATAAAAAATAAATCTAAAATAAAATATTAAAATGAAAATGCTTTTATTTTTTTATTTTTTCAGTGACGCAGCATTTCCAAACAATATATTGCCTTTTTGTTCTCGTAACATTTGTCTCATGACTTATTGATCTGCCACAATAATTTAAAGTTATACATTCTGTTCATGGGGGCTTTAATATGCAACATTAATATGCAATTTGATTTAATTAAACAATTTCAAATATAAATATGTTTAATCGATTAGCTCCTACTTTTTACAGACTGTCTTAGGTTGTGACTCTATGCAGATCATTTCATCTCTTATTTAAGCATTTAAATTTTATTTATGATTCTGGCAAATTAATCTTTGCAGGGCCTTTGATGTGGAGACTGAGTGAATGTAGAGGAGTCTAATGAATATTACATTACCCTTCTGCAGCACATATGCTTTTCAGCAAACACAAGCTGATACACATGCTAATGAATTCCTCTGACTGTTCTCTAGATAAACTAATGATGAGATTTTGTGAGAAACATCTATTAATAATCACACTGCCCTGTTTTAGTAAGTCTACCATACAGGTGTCTTTCATAAAATTTCAGTCAGATCCAAAAATGAACCATCGTTAAGTGCCAAATGCAAGTAGAAAGGACTTTGATGGTTAAATAAAACAGATTTACTAGCCAGGTTTTCTTTTTTTTCCTTTTTTTTTTGCATAATGCAATATTCAGTTTCTTTGCTGGCATTTAAGCCCAGTAAATCTTTACAATTCACTCACGAGTGGCGTGTGAGATGAGAATTTTCGACCCTCTTTTCAACAAACTTTAGTTTATTAATTACAATTTATTACATATTTATTAACTTTTTAGTGTATAATATGTTTTCTTATAGTTCTTTTGTGATTTGAACTTGTGCTTTTCCCCCTGTGTATACGTCTAGACTACCAGAGGCTCATGGTGGTTGCGGAGGGAATCACAACGTTGCTGTTCCCATTCCAATGGCAGCATGTGTACGTGCCCATCCTTCCCGCTTCCCTGCTGCACTTCTTGGACGCCCCTGTGCCCTATCTCATGGGCCTGCAGTCCAAAGAGGGCACGGACCGCTCCAAACTAGAGCTGCCTCAAGAGGTAACCCGCACACACTTACATGGTCACATCCACAAACCTGTACATGCTCACAAATTTGAAAACACATTCACACTCCTTATCATGGCACAGCCACTTAGGGACCTTGGACGTGGACGCATCTGTCAAGTGGGCTGTTTTTCTAAGAGGCTTTATAAGTTTGGAGCCGGATTGGCTTGTGACGATTGGTGATCTGCATATGAGAACGCCCTCAGTGCCTTTAAAAAGCACCGGAGGCCTTTGCTGAAAATAGCAGCAGGAACAGTATGAGGCTTTTCTTTTACAGTCTTTATTAGAGGGATGCTGGAATGCAGTGCTTCCATGTTGACGTGTGGCATTATCGTCAGATCCTTCGTTTTCTTTGTCGCACGGTATCAGAATTCTTAGCAGAGGTTTATTATTCATGATTTGTCTGTCTGGGTGCTGCGAGGCTTCCCCACATCCTCATCCCTAAATCCCATTTTCCGTAAACTCCACATCCAGATTCCCTGCTATGCATTCTCTTTGAAGTCGCTCTGACCTAGAAAAAAAGACTGGTGAGAACAAGAGAGACACCAAAGGGGAATGAGAGAGGAAATGGCTCATTTTGGAACTGCATGGGTTTCCATTTTACTGCGTGACTTTCGTGTTTCTTTTTTGCTGTGTTGTATTATTAGTGAGGATTGGAACAGACCATGTATCTATACACTACCGTTAAAAAGTTTGGGTTCGGTAAAATCTTCTTGAAAGAAGTCTCTCACTGAGGCTGCATTTTTTTGAACAGGTAAAAACAGTAATATTGTTTAGTATTATTACAATTTAAAATAACTGTTTTCTATTTATATACATTTTAAAATGTAATTTATTCCTGTGATGGTAGAGCTGAATTTGCAGCATCATTACTCCAGTCTTCAGTGTCACATGACCCTTCAGAAATCATTCTAATATGCTGATTTGCTGCTCAAGAAACATTTCTTATTATCAATGTTCAAAACAGGTGTGCTGCCTAATATTTTTGTGGAAACAGTGATATTTTCTGGAAATTTTGTGGAAACTGTGAAAATTCATTGATGCCTAGACAGTTTGAAAATAGAAGATGCCTAGACAGTTTGGAAATAGAAATGTCTTTACTCACTTTTGATCAATTTAATGCATCCTTGCTGAATTGAAGTAAAAATTTCTGACCTTGTCGCAGTGCATTTTAGGCTTGCTTTTTTCATAAAGTCATCTCTTGAGGCTGGATTCTGCTAAAATGCTGCTCTTCTCACAATCTTTTCCTTGTCCTTGCTTCAAAACCACTTGAGGGTGATATGTCCTTGTGTAATAGATGGCTCACAGTAGTTCAATTATCATGCTCCAGCTCCTGTCCATTGCCTTTGCCCAGAAGAGAACAGGAATATATTCTGATCAGGAACAGTGTTGGATATGTATATAAACAAACCTATGAGTGCACAGACACATCTGACACATTTCAAATTATATGCACTCATATTTCATGAAGACAGTTAAATTCGGTGGCCCTAAAAATGAACTCAAATCGTAACCTAAATCTGAAACACTTTTTTTTTTTTTTCAGTTTAAATACACACATACTGGCCTGAATGCTGCTTTCTGACAGGCTGTCAGCAGTGTGGCCTGACAGAGCGGACAGTTCTGCTTGACTGATTTATTTTTACAGCAACAAGGTCACGCTCACACACACTGACTTTAGGCCATTTTGAGTGCATGAGCTGCATTGCATGTGACTGAACAGCTGTGTGTCACACCGAGCGATATTTCTAATGATCCACTGGATTGATTTAACCTAATTCCAGATATTGGCTTTGGTTATTAGGTCAGTACAGCTGATGTTTTGCTATTGTAGCTTTGGGTCAGTGTGTGTTTGAATACTGTAATTCCCCAGCAGGGTCATTCCGTGTCAAATCAACCAAATGTTACAGATGTATATTTACTGAGTAATCCACTATTTTGCAGAGGGGGTTCAAAATGACAGTTTTTACCTGAGATTTGGAGCCAAATTACAGGGGGTAAAAATGACTTTAGAAAGATGGCAGCATCATTATTTTATTTTTACAGAGATATTGGTAGGTAGGGTAAAATATGTTGACTTTAGCAATATTTGTATCATTATATGCCAATGGTGACGTTCAAAAATGGCAAAAAGCACTACTTGTTTTTGCCTCAAGTTTGCATTCATGTAACTCAAGATGTATCAAATATCTTAAAATCCTTTCAGATTCTGGTTCTTAAACTTTTCTTTTGGTATTTTCATAAAGGCCCTCAATGGTTCAATCCCAGAGATATGGAGATCTTAATGTGGCTCCGTGAGTAAATTGGTAAATTGTAAACATTTTCAGTGGTCAAAAACCAAAGGTGGGTCACTTTGCATACAACTGTTACTTTTTTCTTTTTAAGAGAAATATCTGAAGAACAAATAATGTTGAAACTAGAAATTTGTCTTGTGTCTTTCTATCAACACAAGTGCATAGAACATGCATAGAGCATAAATATTCCTTTTCCAAAGTTGTCGTGTCTGTAACTCTAAAAGTATTCAAGATATCTTAATATCGTTCTAAATTCTCGTTCCTTAAAAAACTTTCCTTTTGAAATCTTAATTTTCAAGGTGCTATAAAGTTCAGTCCCATCTGGGGATCTCAAAGCAGCTACATGTTCAAATTGTTGAATTTTATTCAACAATTTGAAGTTGTCTTTTGTTTTGTATCTTTAGGTTTGGTGTAAAAAATGAGTGTTAACGCTACGCGAACTGGAACTAAATGTATAATTTTCTTTTTTGGTCCAGACCAAAAGAACCAAGAAAACTACAAGTGTGAACATGCTTAAAAAAACAAACTTGTTTGGTCATACATTTTATCTACGTGAATTAAGAATTCACAATATTTGTAAAATACTTTCTACTTCTTGGATGTGTGCTCTGTTTGGCACATCACAATGAAGCTGAATTTTATTTTATTTAAATGTAATGTTTGAACCGAGATCCAAATTCTCTGCCCTTAAAGGGATAGTTCACACAAAAAATTATTTTACTGACCCTTGTGTTGTTTCAAACCTGTATGTTTCTTTCTTCTGTTGAACACAAAATAAGAAATTTTAAAGAATATGGGTAACCAAACTGTTGATGGGCCCCATTGACTTCCATAGTATTTTCCTCCTCAGGCAAACCTGTGTTTCGTTGACGTCGACAACCACTGCATCGAACTGCCTGAAGACTTTCCTCAGTTCCCCAACAAGACCGAATTCATCAAAGAACTCAGTGAGGTGTTGCTAAGTTTTGGCCTGTCTCCCGCGGGAGGCAACACCTCCCCTGGACCTGCCATCAGCACGCAGTCCTCCACGCTGGAGAAGGAGCTGAAGAGCACATCCTTGAGAGAGTTAGTGGACGACAAAAGGAACGGCAACCTCGGTGGGGAGGCACTGGACATGCTGGAACTTCTTCAAGGCAACCCGACCCTGGAGCGTTTGCAGGCTCTGGCCAAAAGGACTGGGGTGAAAGTGGCCCGTCTGGAGGCATTGGCAGCGGGACAGAAGGCCGTAGGGGACGAGGGCGTTGGAGGAAGGTCTCCTGTTGAGGAAGAGGAGCTGAGGAACGCTAAACTGAACGTGCAGCTGAGGGAGGTGTTCGCCGCACGCTTCGCGACAATGTTTGCGGACTACGAGTCATTTGTGATTCAGAACTCGCCAGATTTGGAGTCCTGGCTGACAAACAGAGAGCAAATGCACAACTTTGACAAGGTGACTGGCATGTTTCACTCTCGATGCACAAAACAAATCAAATACTTTCTCAATATTATTTTTTCATTCTAGTTTGTCACTTTTTGTTGGTCTTGTACCAAAGTTTTTATTAAAAGCCTCAGATGGTACATCCATTTTTAAGTTTTTCATTTGATTTCTCCTCAGGCCTCATTCCTTTCAGACCAGCCGGAACCGTATTTGCCCTTCCTGTCCCATTTCATCGAAACGCAAATGTTTGCCACCTTCATCGACAACAAGATCATGTCTCAATGGGAGGAGAAAGAGCCCCTCCTACGAGTGTTTGACGGACGCATTGAGAAGGCCCGCCTCTACAACGTCCGCGCCCCCAGCTTGCGCTCATCTGTTTACCAGAAATGCACGTTCCTGAAGGAATCGGGTAAGAAACATGCAGAGTTAGTGGTCTGATATGAGATTGACTTCTCTTAATATATTAAATGTCAAATTTATTTAATGTTAGATCTGTTTAATGTGCAGAGTCAACTGTTTAAGTTTAATTTTTACCTCTCTGCGCTACTTTTGGTTTCTCAACCACTGAAGTAAGTTTGAGGTGAGACTCTTTTTCCAAACAATATTAGATGGGGCAGAGCAATAAGGAAAAAAATGGCAAAAATTGTGTTCACTTGCCACAGAAATTACACACTTCATCTTTAAATGAACATAACATTAAAATGATCCCTGTTTACTTTCTGATTTCACATTCCTTGTCCTTTAAGCGTGCATGTTATTCCAACACACAAAAAAGTTTTGTATGGTGTATATATACTATAGAATGTTCAAATTTGGAACACTTTTCACAATCTAATCAATTCCATTAGGATAAAATCAAGTCCAGCCACTCATTATTTAGTTTTTTCCTGGTTGAATGTCTTAGGCTATGTTCAGACTGACAGCAAAAATAAAAAATTGTGTATCCAGTTTTTATTGAGATGGACTGCAAAAATAATACATGAAATCCGATTTGTCCCCCCCAAATCTGATTCAAACCACAGTTGCAGGTTGGTTATGTCTGGACATGCATATCTTATTTGATCACTTGCTATTAATATTGCAGACAGTCTGTCTGAAAAGATCTGATTTGAGAAAAAAAATCTAATTTGCCTGCAGCCTAATTTACTCTCACTGTTCGAAGGATCACTAGCTGCTTTTTTATAAGTAGTACAGTAAAAACACAAGATACTTCAGAAATCATTCTAATATGCTGATTTACAGCTCAAGAAACATTTCTTATCATTATCAGTGTTAAAAACAGTTGGAAACCATGATATATTTTTTATGAATAAAAAAAAGTTCAAAAGAATAGCATTTAAGACACCTTTTGAAACATGTCTTTACCGTCACATTTAAATCATTTAATGTGTCGTCGCTGATTTAAATGATTAATTTCTTTAAAACAATAAATAAACTAAACTTTGTGTAGTCTGTCACATTACGCAAGTAAAAAAGTATAAATGCCCTTTCATGTCAATACAATTTTCAAATTGTAATCTTTTGAAATAATTTACTTTTGGGCGGTTTTTGTTTGGTGCTGTTTTTTGTATCTATGATCAGATTCGCAAATCAATTTATTCTACTGCATTGGCAATTGTCTTCTCATTTGATGCCTTACTGAGTTTTGTGCAATCACCTTTCATCATTCTTTTTCTGAACGATGGTTATTTCCCCAGTCGTTGCTCTGTCAGTACAAATTGTGTATTTCAATTTTAATGAAGCTGTATAAAAAAAAGTCGCTGCTGCTTATGTGCGCAGATGATTATAGAGAGTGACAGTTCAACAGGGCGGCTGAGGGGCCGAGAAGACGGGAGGGAGGGAGAAAGAGAGAGAACAGAAGTGTTTGAAAAATGAGGAGAGGAGCACAGAATGAAAGAACTGAAGAGCGTGTCCCCAAATGAGTCATATGAATGGATCGCTTTTGAAAGACTGCCAAATGTTGAAAAGAAAAGAGCGGGCGCCTGGCGCTGTGTTGTGCCATCTTGGGAAGCCTGTGTGTGTGTATGTGTGCTGAATATTGTTGAGTGTGCATCTGCTCGCTGAGCCCTCAGTACCATTGTTAGGTCAATAACCTCTTGTCACACTGAAGGTCACTATTGGAAGATGGATTTGCTTCTGAAATGGCACACTGCCCACAGATGCGCTATGAACGATGCCCAACATTTTCAATTCTATCATAAAATGCATTTTGAAAGTGATAACATTGTTTTATTTGTTGCACGCTTAAAAAGCTAGGCAACAAACAAGTATGTTAGCATGAAAACCAGGTTTGAATTCCAATTTCTGCTAAATAAATGATGAAGCTATCTTTTCTGGTGCAATGCACAGCTACTATAGGTACTTTAATTTCCCTGTCAGTCCAATGATAATAATCATAAAAAATAAAAAATAATAATAATAGCATTGTTTATAAAGGATAAAATCCATCTATAATATGCAAATCAATGCTATAATAATAATATTATTAATATAATTTTATAAATGATAAAAGGAATATTATGTTGTTGTTAATTTTATTAGTTCCAAAATCAATGCAATAATAATATAATTTTGTAAATAATAAAATGAATATATATATTATTAATTTTATTAGTTATAAAAAATAAAAATGCGATAATTAAAATGTATAATTATTATTATTACATAGTATAATACGTATTAATTAATTTTATAATTTTTTTTTTTTTTTTTTTGTCACTCCACTCATATTTCATTTTTACACCTTATGTGTAGAAAATTAAAGTTGTAGTAGTAGTAATAATAATAATACAATATAAAATAATTTTAATTATACTGTTTTAATTATAATTTATTCTAATTTATTTGTACTTTAGTCACTCTGCTTATATTTCTTGATTGAAGCTAATTATGTGTTAAATTGTACTCTAAAATAACCCAAGCAAAGTGCATCTTATTAGGAGTAGATTTGTGAATAAATTACTATTTTATTTTCAGCGACTTTTATTTTACAGTTGCTGGAGTCTAGCCTCGAGCTTACAGCTTATAGGTTTGTTGTTAGCGAACATTCTGAAGTCACTCGCAGCTCAAGCTGTCATGACACAACAGCTAACCTTTCTGACTCGAGCTGTGTTTCTCCTCTCCAGCCCAGGCCATAGAGCAACGGCTGAGAAAGATCGACCACACGGCCATCCATCCTCACCTGCTGGATATGAAGATTGGCCAAGGAAAATACCAGCAGGGCTTCTTTCCCAAACTACAGGCTGATGTGCTTGCCTCAGGGCCCACCAACAAGTGAGTCCTCTTTATGGCACATGACACCATTATGAGACATTGACCATTCAGTGTGGGGCATAGCGCTTCAGCGTCAATATTAGCTGAGCAACCCTTTAAAGCTTGTATTAATGTGTGTGTGTGTGATGACTAATCGAAATCCTCTGTGATCAGGTGGTCCAATCGCACATGCTCGACTCAGCGCAGAGTGGACCGGCACAGACAGCAGAACGAACATCTTGTGCTAGACAATGACCTCAAAGAGGTGAGACTGTAGTGTTTCTTCCTATTCAGCCTCTCTCCTCGTTTCTCTTCATCTTTTCATCCTGTTCTGTGTGCAGCCTTTCATTACCACATACTTTTTTCATGTCTTTTTACTTCATCTCTTTTTGACTGACACTTTCACAGGGACTCATTTGTCAGATGGTAGATAGGACTGATGAAAAATAGAAGATAGTTCATCCAGAAATTATCATTTTGTCATAATTTACCCAGCCTCATATTTTTATAAATCCGCAAGGCTTGCTTACTTCCATAAAAAAAATATTTTTTGAAGACTGTAACTAACTCTTTTCCATGCAATTACAATAAATAAGACAAATGCAATGCTTAAGATTTTAAGCTTTGAAAAGGATGTAAAAACACCTTAATAATGACCCATAAGGCATGTTGTGTTTTGTGAATAACAACAATGATATCAGTCTGTTCCTCAAACAATTAAAAATAAAAGAATCGGTAATTGAAATAAAGCGTAAAATAAAATGTAAATATTAGATGAACATTTTTAAACTTAAAAACTGAAATGAGAATTAGAAATGAAACAAACTAACTAAATATGAGTATGTAGAAGTACTAATACTGAAATAAAAATAATTAAACCTTTAAATATAATAAATAATAAAAATGACAAAAGCACATAAAATAACTAAAATAACGGTCAGTATTATATTTTCAGCTTTCATTATTTTAGTTAAGTCATTTACTGATAATCATCACTATTAACCGAGAGCAACAAATCATACAGACCAGTTTTGTGAATCAGATCAATTGAATCATTTGAAAAGATCTGACTCAAAGAATAATTCGTTGTCATTGCACCATATCTCATAAACGCGCCAAAGAACAGTAAGACGGATGTCAGGATATTTTTTTAATCACTTTTCAGTGACATGATGATAATGACTGTAATTATCCATAAATTACAGATTCCTAATGTCTGAATCACATAAATGGTCTTCTGGGCTGTAAGTGATTTACATAAACCATTTACAAGTCAAATTGCTTGATGAATCATGCTTAGTACAAAGGTCTCCTGAGCTTTTTGTGAATCTGCCTGTTCTCATTTCTTCATTGTCTCCATTTCTTTACTTTTGAGTCTGCATTTTCTCTATTAAGTGTCTTGGTGTTTTCTCACTTGTCTTTTCTTGTCTGACTGCCTCACATTCATGTGCATGCTGCTTTTTTCTTTCCTTTTCTTTTGTTTCTTCATCGTTTCTGTGTGCGTTTGTCGTTTGGATGCTGTGGGATGTGGGTCGTACCACCTCACAACAGGTGGAGGGGTGTTTGCTCCTGCAGAACTCTATGGCTTTCTGGGAGTGGGATAAGGCGCCACCCCCGCCTTTTAAACCACCTAAAAAGTCCTTCTCGGCCTGCTGTCTGGTATGTGGAGGCCTGTCGTTATTTGACCGACTTAAAACATTCCTAACATGCCCTTAACAAACTCCTCCCTGAAGCCCTTCCCCTCAGACACACAGTGACCTTTGAACTCCACTGCACTCAAATCTGCCCCTGGATTTTCCCACATGCTCTTATAAACCAGAGTTTCAGTAGTGAGCGCTTGGTGAATCACTCAACAATCACAAACCTTACAGGATCCCACAACGAAGAATAAAATCCTCGGCTTTATAATCAACCGCCTCTTGTACCCACAGTTATCAAGAAAATGTTTCAAACTTTTCAACAGTTACTTGTGTGTGTGTGTGTGTGTTTGAACCTTTCTAAACGTGTTTAGCCTCTTTATTATCTGTGTCCTGATCTGTAGAAGTACATGCAGGAGGCCCGTAACCTGGGGAAGAACCTGAGACAACCCAAATTATCAGACCTCTCCCCTGCAGTCATCGCTCAGACCAACTGGAAGTTTGTGGAGGGTTTACTGAAAGAATGCAAGATGAAGGTCAGGATGAGTTTAATCTGCACACAAATACTTATATACAGTATATATACACATTTTAACTGGGGATCCCACAGTTATGGAAAACTTTGAATTTATATATATCAGTCTGTTATCAAACAGTTTTAACAGGGTTTGTGTTTATCGATACTATATTTGTGCATGCATATTTGTTTATTTAGATGACCTTTGTTGTCATTTAGTGCTCACTTGAAGTTCATCTTTAAAAACAGTGATAATTTAATACACTGTTAAATGTAATGTTTAGCAAATTCCTATTGCATTTCCTATTGTAGATTATAATGCAGTGATATTTTTTTTAACTGATTTTTTGTTCATTTATATTTTATTTATTTATACAAAATAATATAGAATTTTATTTCAGCCATTGGTTGGTCACTGGCCATGACATCAAAATTATGAGGCTCAACATTTACAATTACAACAATTACAGCTCATCATATCAACAAGAATTTTAATGTTAGTTCATTCCTAATGGAAATATCAGGGAACTTTAAAATTATAATTTTATTACGCTTTAAAAAATCACACATATGAGTTTCTTCTTTGAATTATAAAAGTTATTATTATTGATAAAAATACAGTCCTTGCTAGTGTAATTACACATTTAAATACTAAGTAATATTAATTAACATACTTTAGGGTTTGGTTTCGAGTTAGTTGCATGTAATTAAGCATAATGTACTATTATCTACTACAGTACAGTACAGTAAACCGGTAACATATGTAACAAGGACACTAAAATAAAGCGTTACCAAAATAAATATGATAGTATTGTTTGAATAATCGTTTCATTACTCTAGACTTTTTAATTGGCTAGATATTGTATTTTGTAGTGCAAAACTTGGCATAGGTCACCATGTTAGTCATTGGTCTGTCGGTTAGTTTTGCTGTAAACTATTTAGTATAATTGCTTGCATTTAATAATTCAAATGCTTGATACTTAACATACAAATGGAAATCTGCCCCAACAATCTCAGTGTAATGATTTTTAATATCCTTATACAGTAATCATGAACCACTGGACAGGTCTTGTAAAAGTCAGAAATGCAATAGTCAAGAATTGTGGGAAACTGGAATTATGACCCTTTTGTCTGCTGCATTAAAGCCTTAAGACAGAGTCAAGATTAAAATGTCTGGTGTGATCTTTTGGTAATTATGTTTTTCAATGGATGTTCAGACCAAGCGTATGTTGGTGGAGAAAATGGGCAGAGAGGCTGTTGAACTGGGACATGGAGAGGCAAACATCACCGGTCTGGAGGAGAACACGCTCATAGCCAGTCTGTGTGACCTGCTGGAGAGAATATGGAGCCACGGCCTACTGGTCAAACAGGTGAGACTCCAACAAATGCAAACGAGTTTCACATTCTAACAATTGCAGCTCTAAAGCTAGGAATAATTTGTGTGCTGTCGTCATGGTTCATAGGGAAAGTCTGCGCTGTGGTCTCATCTATTGCACTATCAGGCAAGAGAAGAGAAAAACGAGCTGCTGTCAGAGTCTCCAGGTAAAAACTTTCTTCATAAATGCATATGAGATTGTAAGACCAGAAACAACTCTACTCAAGTCACTCTGCAAATTATAGAATGACTTTCAGGGGTGTCCATTTCTGTAGGGCCGCATTTAGATTCGTCTCGCACAACATAGTGTAAATAAACTTGTACACAAACTGTTTTTAGACCCCAAGCTTTTGTTTTGCCGCCTTTTGAGGAAGTTCAAGACTTAGCTAAACATGTTTACAAGCTAATTAACTTTATATTCTTCAGTGATTCTCCTTGAAAACCTGACAGGAACTTGTATACTCACTAATTTTTGACGTTAACACCTGCTAGTGCTTGTGAAACATAAGGTTTCAAATAGCTTTTTGACATTAAGCTTGCGTAGCTAGAAGTCTTCAGGCCTAACACCTCTCCATGCTAATTATGCTAACAGGCCAAAAGCTCTACATGAAGGGATTTAAAGTCACTATTTAACATAAGAAGCAACAGATCTTTCCTTCCATATCATGACGTACATTCAAGTGAAACTGATTATCTAAAATAAAACAATGTAGAATGGGGTCTTGGTTCAAAACATCGGTTGTTGATTGCAAAATTGCATTCCGATCCACCTCTATCCAGTCAATTGTAAAAGGAAGGGTTTATGCGGACGAAATGATTGGAGAAGCCTACGTCACTGGAAGTCAGTCGTTTCACTGGAAGATCGAGTGATGATATCAATAACATGCATTTAGAAAATAGGTGAATCTCATTCCAACTTTAAAATCTGCTCTGCTTAAGAGTGCTAAAACGGTGTGTTTCTCACTCTACAGTGTCTAATGGCCAGGAAAGACGAAAGTCAGAGTCCAGTGTTGGTCTTCCTGCATTACGTGTCTCAGTCATACAGGACATGAGGTGTGTTTATCGCCTTAGGACAATTGTCGTATACAGTAGTGCGCATTATAGTGGTTTGGTTGTTTTAATAATTCAGCTGGGTAATTTTTAAATGACGTGATGTTTTTTTTAAAGAGAGATTGATATACACCCACAATGTTCGGTTGCTTGTGGCCATTTCAACCCACATACAATAAATTACACTATTGTTCTTGTTTTTCTCACTTTCTCCGTCATCCTTTCTCTCTCTTTCAACTTCTCAGACACATCCAGAACATGGGAGAGATTAAGACCGATGTAGGTCGAGCACGTGCCTGGATCCGTCTGTCCCTGGAGAAAAAACTACTTTCCCAGCATCTCAAACAGCTGCTGTCTAACCAGGCTTTAACCAAGTGCGTACAATACCTAACACGCATCCAAACTCCCATCTACACACACACACACACACACCAGTCCCTATGTTAGGAAAATAAATATATCATTTTTCAAATTGATGGGACCAGATTGTTTATACCCGTTGCTGAATAATCGCAAGTTTTTTAAGAGAAGATTTGTCACTTTTTGTCATAACATCCTTTAGCATGTTATATTCCCTGTGAGAAACCTTGTTTTAATCAGGTGACACTTTTGAAGATTTTTTTTTTACAAAGTTCGCCATGAAAATAGCCACAGAAGCTGGCATGGCGTTAAAAAACAAACTACTCTCTCACACACCTGGAGGCTTTGAGATTCCCACATAAACACCAAAAAAACATACTCATCACAAGAACTTCTGAGTGACGCAAACAAGTACACGCACGCTGACCCGTTTCAAGTAGCTGCACCTGTTATTAAGCATGCCATGTTCCCACAGGAAGCTGTACAAGCGGTACGCTTTCTTGCGCTGCGAAGAGGAAAAAGAACAGTTTCTCTTTCATCTCCTGAGCCTGAATGCAGTGGACTACTTCTGCTTTACCAGCGTCTTCACCACCATAAGTACGTCCCAGAGAAAGCGACACACACACAGATGTGCAGACCAGGACAGTACCTACCATAGTCAATCAATGTGGATTAAAATTTTATGAATATTTAATGCAAACGCTCATAAAAACAGCATCCATCATGTCAGGCACTTGACATTGATTTGATGCTGCTGGACCAAACATGAAAAATGTATACTTATATTTTGTCTTTTTGTATAATGTTGTGATTCGTTGCAACCTGATTTGTGTTCTTTTTGTGCCCTCAGTGATTCCGTACCGGGCCGTCATCATCCCTATCAAGAAGCTTAGTAACGCGATGACGACGTCCAACCCTTGGCTGTGTGTGTCCGGCGAGCTAGGCGACTCCGGCACCCTGCAGATCACGAAGAATGTTCTGGAAATGACGTTTGACGTGAGTGCCGTGATGTCACGCTCCAGCTGTTCTGCTCTGAAACTGATACAGCAGTTTATTTCGAGTGTTTGTTTTCCTGTGGGACTGAAACAGTCATCTGTCCTGCCGTCCGCAGAATTGACTGTGCTTGCAGGTCTTTCGAACATCTGCTAAATTGAAGCTGTTTCTGGAAATAACTCAACAAAAGTTTAGCTGAACAAAATATCTAAGGAATAAAAACAAATTGAAAGTAACAGGGTGGATCTCTTAAAAAATAGATACTATATTTAGGCCCTTTTTAAAGTAATTTTAGTAGTATTTTTTTTTCTCCTCTAATGAGAATTGTGGAACATTAATATAATTTATGTTCATAATTTATTACAAAAAAGAAAAGAATTAAAGGCCCCCTGTGGTGAAGTTTTTAATTTAGTTTGAATCAAGTTTTTAATTTTGTTTATATACCTGTGTGGTGTTTTTAATATGCTTTAAGACAAACCATGTGCAAATTCATAAGTCAACACCATTGCTGAGTATTTTCTTCTTAAAACTGCAGTGAATTAAAGACTATCTCAAAAACGCGGTATGAAATCGCTGGTGTTTCTGACGTCGCAAACTACTTTGTAACCAATCCCGTCAACGAGTGGATCTCTGAACTGGTGCGAGTGAGTGGAGGCGGGGCTAATTTGCATATTCATAGAACCGTGTATACTAAATGAGGCAAGGGTGTAGTTACATTCAAGCTATTTTAAAGGGAAACAGAATTTTTTTTTCAAGGAAAAGTTTAAATATGTAATTTTTGTGATCAAAGATGAGTTTTAAGGGATTCAATTAACTACAGGGGGACTTAAAATATTTCTTCTTTTTTTTTTGTATATATGAGGTGAAATGATACAAAATTTGTTCTTTTGCTTTGACCTTTCAAAATGTTTTGCAGATTTTCTCAAAAGATTTTCTTGATGTTCAGATTGTTTCTTTTTTCCCCCAAACTGAGATGGTGATTCATGTATTAGTGATCAAAACCCCTCTCTCTATATATGCATGAATCTATAAATTTGAGGAAGGAGGTATTACTCTTACATCCCACCTCATAGAACCAATCACTGCCATTTGTCTTACTGTCAATCATCCATCATGTTCTAACTCATTCTGTGTCCTCTCGCAGTCTGCCTTTAGGCCTCACACGCACATCTCCATCGCCTTCAAGGTTAGGTGCACATCCCTCCATTTTATTCCTCCCTCTCTCTACATTAATTCATCTCTCCATTTTTCTTCTCCTCCACTTAGAGAGATCACCTCCTTTGCTTCTTTGGGTTCCTCTCTACCTTTAAATCTTCCCAAAATTTGTTCAATAGCCGTTTTCAATTTGATTGCACATATAGGGGAAAAAAAATCTTAAATTAAAGGGATAGTTCACCCAAAAATGAAAATGCTGTCATCATTTACTCACCCTTAAGTTGTTCCAAACCTGTATGAATTTCTTTCTTCTGCTGAACACAAAAGATGATATTTTGAAGAATAATATTGATGGGCCCCATTGACTTCCATAGTATTCCCCCCTCCCATACTCTGGAAGTCAATGGGGTCCATCAACTGTTTGGTTACCCATATTCTTCAAAATATCATCTTTTGTGTTCATTCAGGTTTGGAATGACATGAGGGGGAGTAAATGATGACAGAATTTTCATTTTTGGGTGAACTATCCATTTAACATGAAAATGAGACCAGACTAGAAAATTAGACTAACTGTTCACATCTGTAGAAGCCGTACAAACTGTTTCTATTATTATTTATTACTTGTATACAGGATCCAAAATGAACTCTTATGCACACTTGGTGAGTGGATTCAAAAAATGCCATATGTATTGTTTTCAAGCCACTAAACTAAAATAACCTTAAACTCAGTATATTTTTGTTTTGATGGCTCAGGTGAGTAACTTTTATTTACTCAACAAGCCAGTTTTTTTTCCTCACATTTGGAACTTATGGTGTGTTCATTTTGGACCCTGCTTGTACACTTGCGTTTAGTTGATTCCATAAATATTTTTAGAGCCATAGGTTGCGATAGTAAATCTGAATCAGTGATAGTACATTCAACATTGTACACTTTCACTGTCTTGGTGTCCTTCCGCTGCTCACTTTCAAAATGCAGCACACACCCTTACACGGGTTGTTCGGTTATTCTCAGACAGCTGCTTAACGCCTCTGACATCTTTTTCGTTTATCTGTTTTGTATGTACAGCGTCAGAACCTCGGGAAGTTGACAACAGTGCAGCTGGGTCATGATAATTCTGGCTTGCTTGCCAAGTGGCTGGTGGATTGTGTCATGGTCCGCAATGAGATCACTGGCCACACATACAAGTACGGCCTACTCTGTTCTCTTCACATTCCCTCCATCTTGTTCCTTTTATGGCTTTCTTGTTATTCACTTGTAATCCTTTCCAGGTTCCCGTGCGGCAGGTGGCTAGGGAAAGGTGTGGATGATGGCAGTCTTGAGCGAGTTCTGATCGGTGAATTTGTAGTTCCGTGCAATGATGATGAAGGAGGCCGAGGGGCTAAGACTCCGCCCCTTCAGCGATCGCCTTCCCAGATCCGACGAATTAGCATCACATCACTTACAGGACGTGGAAACAGTAAGTTTAACTTGCATTTTAAAGGTGCTTTCAGTGATGTTTGATTTGTCGGGGTCTTGGACTTACACTGACACCTAGTGGTTTGAATGTAGCATCACATAAAAATAAATGCTTTCAGTGACAAATGAATGCTCTTAACTCTTACCCCGCCAGCATAAAAAAAAGAAAGAAAAAAGTTTCCAGCCACTGCCAGCATTTTTGATCATTTTCACAAAACTTTTATTGCAGCCAGAATACTTTATTGTATGAATATCTGAACCAACAATATATCAAAAGAAAGAACACCTCTGCTTTAAAAAATAAATAAATCTTATTCTAGCTTCATGCATTCTTTTTTGTATCAACACTTGAATGTGGGTGAGTTTTTAATAATAAAAAAAAGCAACATTTTAAACAAAAAGATTTGTTCGTTTTGATCTGGAGATTCTCTACTCTTTCAGAAGATGCATAATAGCGCTTCCTATCGTATAACAGTTAAGACATGAAAGGCCAGAAATGTCCATCAATGGCAGGGAAGCGTTGTCTCATAAATGACGAAAAATCCTGTCAATGACAAGGAAAGAGTTAATAGTCAGCCATAATTAATTTATTCCATAAATTAAAGTGTCAAATCATGGGGGTTAGGGAAATGAAGTAATTAGTATTCGGCTGCTCATGTGATCTCAAAATGGCCGCCTCGATGAAGCGACCCTCTCCTTGTAAAATAAACTAAAATAATCTTTTATTAGTCTACTAATATGACTGTCTTCATCTAATGTGAATGTACATTATTCTTAACTATTTGTAAATCGATAATTGTTGTGAAGTACTATTTATGTATTTAGGTGTTCAACCTTTTTAACAATCCTTCTCTCTTCAGAACCAACCACCGTTCAGATACAGGAATCCATCGGTGAAGCAGTCAACAATATTATCAAGCATTACCACAAACCAGAGAAAGAGGTATGATGTGTCCACTTAAGAATATCGTCACTTTATGTTTTCCTGTTTTTTGAAGCTAAAACGGTGTCTTTCAGAGGGGCAGTCTTACGGTTCTGCTGTGTGGTGAGGGTGGTCTGGTGTGGGCACTGGAGCAGTTCTTCCAACATGGATTCCGCTCCGCTCGAATCTTTCAGAAAAATGTCTTTGTGTGGGATTTCTACGGTAAAGCTTATTAAATGTGTCCCTGTGAGAGTATATGGCACTAACTGTTATTCTAATATTTTTGAGCTCTATACCAAAGATATTCACTCAAACAGAATAAATAAACTAGAAAAACAAATCACATTACTTCCCGGCTTTATTCTTTCTCTTCATTTTTAAGGCCTTATTATATAGAGCTAGATCCTTTTTAAAGACATTAAGCATGGGTGCTGTTTTCAAAATGTTACATTTATGAGTGAAATATTTTACCTTAAGTAAACAGTTTATAACAAAGTTTTATGTTTATGTTGCTTAAAATATATAATATACTGTAAATATTTTATAATTAATTTCCTGCATAAAAACACATTAGGTTTTTAGGTTTCTAACGAACGTGTTGCTGTGTGTGTGTGTGTTGTACAGAGAGAGTAGTAGCGTTTATGGACAATGCAGATCAGATTGGAGACCTCCAAGAAATACCAGAGCCTCTTGGTCTGAATTGTGAATCTTTCTGTCGATACGTCAACGCCATTAACAATATGCCACGCAACATTGGCAAGGATGGCAAGTTCCAGCTGCTAGTTTGCCTCGGGGCAAGGTAAGGACACACGCATGCTTTTTGATGCATTCGTTTGAAATAAAGCATCTGAAAGTCAGAGCAAAATGTACTCAGAGTTGTCTGCATGTATATCCCACTCTCACAGAGACCGGTTATTGCCGCAGTGGCTCCCTCTGCTGGCCGAATGCCCGGTCATCACACGCATGTACGAGGAGAACGCGTTACTTCGAGACAAGCTCACCGTCAGCTCTCTCGTCGGTGTCCTGGAAACGCTCAATGACTTTCCCATCACTCTGGAGACCTCCTTTACGAAAAGCGTTGAGCTGTGATTCCACATACTGAGCTCAAATTCAGACTGCTCCCCCTCTCTGCTGCCACCCTCAGGGCCAAAGCGGCTCTACAAGTTACTCTGCCTTGTGCGTTTGCTGACCTGGGAAGAACTGAGGACTTATCAAAGCTTCTCTCAATCTGACTGTCTCCTGCACCCCCAAAGAAATGAACTCTGAACTTCAGAAGTGTGTTTTGTAGCAGTATTTGGAGTTGTGCTCTTTCTAACTGAAAGTGTTGATGACTTTTTTTTTATAGAAGACTCACTTTTTTCCCCTGTGGATTTTGCTTTTAAACCTGTGGTCATTTCCACACACGTATGTCTGCGAGCAACGGTCGTGTCCGCTAGCGTTTCTGTTTCAGATCATGGAACACTGGAAAGCACTATAGGAAGCATGTTTTTTTTGCTAAGTATGTCAAGAACAGTTGAACTGCTGAGGAGCCTTAGTTCTGACAGAATATATGTCCGACACACAATAACTACTCTACTTGAGGAATTCAGACATCAAGTGTTCACAATGACTAATCAGTAAATCGATGTCTGTGTGTTTAAACTGATGCTATCCATGTGCTGATTGGCTGGCAGTTTGAAAGAAAGATTCTTGACATTTGATAGTCTGAATTTGAGAGTGTCAGTTTTAAACCTTCTCGGTTAAAAGCCTGTCAAATGAATTTTCAGAGAAAAAGGACATTCCAACATGATGTGAATCGCTGTATGTTACAAGATGTGTTTATGGTTTATGTGTGATAGAATTGTGTGCGAGTGTGTGGCTGGTTTATCAGATGAACACTTTGGGAAGATGTGTTTATTTGCCAATGAGTATTAACTTCATTCTTAGATACTTCAGTATCATGTTTGAATTTTTTTATGTTTAAGAAAGAAACACTGGAAATCAGACCTAGAAAGCAATAACAAGCCCCCACCCCCCCATTAACCTTAGTCGCAGTTAAAATCTCTCAAATATTAAATATTACAGTTTGTGTGGTGCTTTAAATATAAAGTGTAAACCCTAGTAATTGGGTCACTAATTAAATTAATCACTAATCGAAAGTCTAAATGCAGCATTATTTTGTAAATCCGTGTTTAATTACTGCATTACTTGCACGTTGCTTAGAAATTAAGAAGTATTGTCTTTAAATAACCAGTTATGTTTGTTCTTTTATGCCTCAGTTTTAATCCGGAATCCATGCTGAGAGAAATCTAGTAGTAGAATAAACGCATTTGTTACAGGATGAGTTACAACTTTAAATCACTTAATGTTACCTTAAGTTTTTTTTTTTTTTTTTGAAGACTCTCAGCATTTAATCTTAGACATCTGTAGTACATCAACCTGTGTATTTTATTTCTTTCTTTTTATAATGACTCGGATCATTTGTATGTATTTATTTTCAAACAAAACGTCTGTGACACTGTCTGATTTTAGATGAACTAAATCTTGGGGTGACTTATGCAGTAAGCTGACACTGTATCATTTATTTATTTTAGTAAATCAACTTTATGATGTGTTCAGACTTTGTATAGAATGGAACGTCCATCCTGTGTAAAGGTCGACTTAGTTTTAGGGCCCGGAAGTTGCTGAAATCCCAGAATCCTCTGGCTGGATGGATGAGGGAACTGTCCATGTTTGCGGTGCTGATGCATGCGGCGTTTTAGATCTTGGAGAAGTACTGTTGCTGTAAATTAATTTGTTCCTCTAAATCCTTTCGGTCTTATTCCATACTGGTTAATGTTTTTTTTTCTTGTTTTTTTTTCTCCCCTGTATGAAATGCTTCTAAACATCAATCATATTATGAAAAGTTCCCTGTGTAAAATGAGTGGGTTCCACTATTATGTTTATATTTGTGAAGCAACTCATTAAAATTGCTCCTTATGTCCATATGTGTGTCCTCTCTGAACTTTGAAATGTGTGTGCGCACAGACATTTAGGCATGCATGGTATTCCAGGACAACACTCATGTCCCAGAGAACATTCCTCTATGAAGAGTCATTCTTCATGGAATGTTATTTTTAGTTTAGGGACATGCTGATGGCATCTGTGAAACAAATGTTCAGCACTTGGCTCATAGGAATCAAATAAGTGTTTTTATAGTAGAAACCTGAGATTTTGCTGTTGGGGAGAGCAGGGAGTGATTGTGATAATAAGCTGATGATAATAACCCAAGAAAAAAAGTTGGGATTAATGTACATGTTAAATTTGACTGATTTGTATTTATTAATGCACAAAAATATTTCATGTTTCCAAAATTCTGTCATCATTTGCTCTCCCTCAAGTTGTTCCAAACCTGTATGAATTAATTTTTTTTTTAATTAACACAAAATATATTTTGAAGAATATGAGTAAACCATGCAATTGATGGGCCCCATTGACTTCCATAGAATAGGGGAAAGATACTATGGAAGTCAATGGGGCCCATCAATTGTATGATGGTTTACCCATATTCTTCAAAATATCTTCTGTGTTCCACATAAAGAAATGCATAACTTGCGGGTGAGTAGGCTAAATGATGACAGCATTGTCATTTTTGGGTGAACTATCCATTTAAGAATAATTGACAGTTTAAGTAGGCTACACAAGTCTTTTTCTAAACTAATTTTTTGCAAGCAAATAAAGGAATATTACATGAAATTTTGAGGGGGAAAACGATCAAACTGATCAAAATGTTGGTCTAATGTCGTTTAGCTCCTTCAGTCAGTCTATTTAATTATTCTGCAGCGGGCCCAAAAAAAACCCGGCTACCTCGAACTACTTTCATGATGAATATATCTTAGACGAAGCTGCCGACATGTGCTCATGGCTGACGGACACAGTCACAGAGCGAGAAGAAGGATGTGCTGCTGCTGCGTTTGTTCCGACATCTGCTGTGTCCTCGTAGTAGTAGAGCGTAACTCCGCCCATCGGGATCTCAGCGCACTGGCTGCTGCCCTAGCAACCGGACCCGCCCACGTTTCCCGCGTAATTTTCTTTTCCTTTTATGGGCAATAGAATGCAGACGCAGTCAAACGTCAGCCGCGTATGCAAATGAGGTTGATTGAAGAAATTCAGAAAATGGTGGATGGACATCCGCGCATGCGTAAACATTTTACTATACTCAGACAGAAAGTGAGACAGTAACGAGTGGCGCATTGTTAAATGTGTAACGCCTGTAACTCTTGGATTTCGCTGTGTGGTTTGACTTCAACTGATCCAAGTCGAGGTAAGAATAAAGGTCTTTTTCGTAAAAGTTATTTAACAGTTTATGTGTGCAGAAGATGTCATAATTCGCCTTTCATAAGGCCCCCTTAAGAAGTTGTGTGACAGTGCGATGCCCGGGTGAAAGCTGTCGCGTTCATCAGAAATGTAACAGTAAGATCACTTTTGAAGCTTGCTGGAAATGTTTTACATTTTTGCTCTAGTATTAAAGCGTGCGGTAAGTTTAGTGTTTACATGCTGCCTATACACAGCGCATCACATTTTAGGGCGCTCGCATCCTTTCCTGATGATCGCTGTTAAGTGTTTGATAACAGAATTGATTTATTTGAAGCCAGAGTTGACTTTTATTTCCCTAGTCAGAACAGACACAAACAAAAAATGCGTTATAGATGAGTATTTTGACAGAAACGGCCAATGTTGCATTTTAAAAATAAACAATTTGCATTCGTAGTCTGGTTGAAAGCCTATATAAAACTACAGTAGTGAGCATGCACCCTCAAATATATGTGTATTTGGTGTTGCATCCATTCATTAAAACAAGTTTAGTTGTTCTACTCGTTTTGAACTTGCGATGCTAAACTATCCGTCTGACTGCGTGTGGTCTCTTGCTCCGCTGTTGGTGGGTGTGCTTCAAAACAAACCCGCATTTTCACAAGCTCATCAACGACATTTCCAAACTTCTGCTTTACTAACTCAACGAGTTCAGCGTTAATGTAACGGCTAGAGCTCTGTTACTGTTAGAGATTCGTTTAATGTGAGATGGAGGCGGTGTCACTGACGCATTTAAACATGGAGCATACAATCGATATATAATTTTAGCATTCTGAATTGTTTAAAAGTGTATTAAGTTGTCACATTACGGAAATACACATCCAAATGCGTGTTTTGTTGCGCTCAATGCTCTTCAGGGAAGTTGTTGCACGGACCGCATGTGTTTACAGTCTCGAGCGCGAAGCATGGAGTCGCACGAGCCACTGACGCAGAGTCGCGCGGAAAACAAAGAGCAGCGGTCGAACAGTTCGACTAAATTCAACCGTGCTTCTTCTTTGAGCACAACTGGCATCAAAGAAAGTGCGCGAATGAGTTGTTCGTACAGAGCAGGGTAGTTTATCAGTGAAACTGCGGTGAAAACATGCTGAATGTGTGTGTTTAAAGATGCCGTGTGGCGTGCCATGCTTCCGCGCGAGCTGGTGGGCGGTGAATGAATACGGCGGGACACACGCACCATTTCACTGCAGTGCGCGCGCGTGTACATTTAAACATCGCGAAACATTGATAATGTCCGTTCGATGTTATCTGGATAACTTTAGAAGACACACTTGGATATGTTAATGCCACTTTTGTTCGTGGTTTCCACGACGGCATGGCATTACTTTATTGCCCCCATTTTCTGCCCCTCCTCTCAAACGCGTTGCCATGTTGAATTGCGTCAGAGCAGACAGCAGAGGCAGAATATAGAAGCGCGGTTCAACCTTTTTACAGTCTATGGGTTCAACTCACACACTGTACAGCTCAGGCTAAATGGTAGAAATCTCTCTCTCTCTCTCTCTCTCTCTCTCTCTCTCTCTCTCTCTCTCTCTCTCTCTCTCTCTCTCTCTCTCTCTCTCTCTCTCTCTCAATATGTTAATTCATTAATTTAAATAAAAATACAAATGTTTGAACAGATGCTTCCTCTGTAATGACCCAGTTATACTGTATGAATTATTTGATGCGTCGTACTGTCACCGATCTGTCGATGCGCGAGGCCACTGGTATTGTCCGGCTCCATCGTCAGCACAAGGTTATATAAGACGGAGCACTCGGTCCATTAAGCTCTTATCCCATTGACGTGATGATGACTGATGATAACCCATATTTCATCTCTCTCTCTCTCTCTCTCTCTCTCTCTCTCTCTCTCTCCTCTCTCTCTCTCTCTCTCTCTCTCTCTCTCTCTCTCTCTCTCTCTCTCTCTCTCTCTCTCTCTCTCTCTCTCTCTCTCTCTCTCTCTCTCTCTCTGTGTGTAATAGAATATTCTATATGTATAATAGGCCTATGCACACACAGAAAAAATACAGCTGTAATAACTACATTTAATAACACATAATAAATTTACTTTACATGTATAAAGTAAGATGTACACGTGTGTATACATATGTAAAATGTACGTACAGAAATTATGAAAATACTATGATAAAAAGTTATATTTTCATATTAATTTGTGTAATTTTTAACCATTATTTCCATGACAATTTTATTTGAACTATTACATTTTATTCCAAATATTTCCATATTTAATATAAATAAAATGACAAAGTATGTTTATTATAATTATTAGTAAATGTATTATTGTTGTTTATTATTATAGCAGCCATTATTCTTAATTGTCATGTCAACATTGATAATAATGAGGACCATAACAAGAACTTTGTTTGGAACTATGGGACTACTATGTGTTTAAACGTGTGTGTTAAATCATTGTGAATCAGAAGTACCAAAAAGAGTTGGTTTTCTTGTGTCACAGATGTTTGGCTTTCATAAGCCAAAGATGTACCGCAGCCTTGATGGATGCTGCATCTGCAGGGCAAAATCCTCCAGCTCTCGTTTCACTGACAGCAAACGCTATGAGAGAGACTTTCAGAGCTGCTTTGGGTGAGTATATCTCTATTGTGTGTGTGTGTGTGGTTAACATCTTAACATCTGCCTGGTGAAATTTTGTATATTGTGTCTCTAGTCAAGCAATCAGACCTTTTCTCTTAGAAGAATGTAGAGGAAATAATGTTGTTTGTTCATAACATGAGAACTTCGATGATTTCCATACGCATGCTGCCATTACAATGATATAACAATGGGATACTTCTACAGTTTAGGCGAGACTCGCTCTGGTGAAATCTGCAACGCTTGTGTCCTGCTGGTAAAACGCTGGAAGAAGCTTCCCGTCGGTTCCAAGAAGAACTGGAATCATGTAAGTGCCGCCGATTCAACTTACACAGCCTCTTGTTTATCACACTGAGTCTTTTCAAATCCATTCTCGAACCTTATTGTTTCAAAGCAGCTTTTCACTAAATCCCCTCTGAGTGGCAACTCCCTATAACATGATAAAGTAGATGAGGATGAAACCTTGGGAAGAAATGGGAATTAGTTGAAGGCCACATCCTCAGGATGACACATATTTAAACAATTTTCTACATGCACAAATGTGTATTTGAACAGATGTAATAGTATTAATAATAATCAGCTACATTGTATTAATCAAAGTATTCACTAATTTGTTCTTCAATTCAGTACGATTCTAATGATAACAAATGAAATCTAATGCAGTTAATATAATATATGAAAAATAAGATTATGTATTCATGTTTGGTCCACTGATGAAACTGTTGTAGGTGATCTTAACGATAATAATAATAATACATATAGATTTGTTTTGTTTTTGTTAGAACTATATATATATGTATATATGTATGTGTGTGTGTGTTATAATACCTAAAACACAAATTAATAAAAATGTATTCATTGTTTTTTATATTTATTTTAACCAGTATAATGTAAATTATATGACAATAATTAAATAAATTAAACAATTATAAACCTGATCTATAATAAAATGAAAAAAAAACATACAATCTAAAATAAAAAGTCTATAAAATAACACAATGCCTAAAAAAATGAACTATGTATTTATTGTACATTTATGTGTGATTAAATATATATTTATTGTTTTGCTTATTATTAATATCATATAATTTACATGGAAATCAATGTATTAAATAACTATAAATCTAACATATAATATAAATTGTGAAAAACAAATTAATCTAAATGCATTTGTTTTGTTTATAAATACTATAATATAAATATTATGAAAATAAAAGAATGAATTGATAAAACATGATTAAATAAATAAATAATTATGAACCTGACATATAATATAATGCCTAAAACACATATTAATATACATATATTTATTGTTTTGTTTATAACTTAAATAATTACATGAAAATTAAATCAATAAATAAATATTACATTTCAATCACTATATGGAGATTGTTGTCAATTGTTATCAGGTGGTTGATGCACGAGGGGGACCCAGTCTGAAAACTACAGTAAAGTCAAAGAAAGTCAAATCCCTATCCAGACGGATCAGACCGAACCAGATCAGCAGAGTTCAGAAGGAGCTGAAGAGACACAGTGAGTACTGAATCCCAAAACTAAAATAAAGAAAACATGAAATTGCTCTTGGCATGTTCCTGATAAAAAAATGTCTTTGTTAACAGATTCAGACGCTCACAGCACCACCTCCAGCGCCAGCCCCGCCCAGTCGCCCAGCTACAGTAACCAATCAGACGAGGGTTCTGACTCTGAGTTGACTCCTGGCTCCGCCCGCTCTCCAGTCTTTTCCTTCCTGGACCTGACATACTGGAAGAGGTATTCACTCTGCCGAATCAGTCTGATTTACAAGTTTGACCTTTCAATGTTCATCAGAACGAATACTTTTGAATGACATGAGCTCGTTTTCAAATCTCTCTAGGCAGCGGGTATGTTGTGGCATCATCTATAAAGGTCGCTTCGGGGAGGTTCTGATCGACCCACATCTCTACAAGCCCTGCTGTCAGAAAAAACAGGAGCAAGAGCAGGAGGAGGAGGAAGAAGAGGAGGAGGAAGAAGACGAGGACGGAGACCTTGAGAAAGAGGAGGTGCAGAGCAGTCAAGAAATTCTCTCGTCTATTCAACCGCTCTCCTCTTCCCAAATAAAAATGGAACGGGAAGTGGATGAGGAGTGGTGATGCCACATTCCCAGGGTACTGAATTGGCATTCTTAAGAAGCCTTCGAGAGTCAGAGGCGTAGCGTTGCCCCTCAGACACTCTCAAAGACGTTCTCTCGGATTGCCTTCGATTCATGAGCAGCTGGATCCTTGTTTGTCTTTTCCTGTTTTTTTTCCTCCTTGTTGAGAATGCGTCTCTTTCATTTCCTTTGCAGTTGAAGCAACCTTTATTTATCAAACTGACTGAAAACCTTCCTTGTTTTTCAGAGCCGGGTACCACGCTATTCCAGTTCACCCCTTCTTTTTTTGTAGATCAGGGAAAATGAGTTTGCTTTTTTTGCTATCTCACTCAAACACAGAATGCTGGATCTACATATATCATGCATAGAAATGTAGAGAATAGACTTGTACAGTGACCACAATCCTACCCTGTCACTTTTCTACCCTTGAGCACCATTGTGCCCTTCCTCTGGGGTGACTGTGTCTGCAGTGAGTGTACAGTATTTAGGATATTCCACCATTCCAGCTGGGATATAGCCATTATTTAGGGAAGCTTCTGATCTTAGCCTTTTATATATTTATTTTGTTCTGTCTTTGTCTTTATTTTTAAGGCCTGCTCTGTTTGTTCCACCTCTTGATTTGTATTTAATGGGACAGGACACCTAAAAATGTAAGAAAAAGAAAAAATCTGTCATTCACCCTCATGTTGTTTCATATGGAGCGCCTAAAGGGACATGGTGATGGAAAAATATGAGATGGGAGGAAAAATATATTTTAATGCTTTTGAATTCTCCTGCAAAAATTTTGCATTCCCCTGAAAAATGTCATGTTCGCTCGCAAAGAACTTAAATGATTTGTGAGAACGCAAAAGCATTAACACACAATTTTTCCTCCCTTCTCATTTTTTTCCCCATCACCATGTACCTTCAGGGGCTCTGTAGTTTCAAACCCCTTTAAATTTATTTCCTCTTTTGCACGGAACACCAAAAGTAAAATTATTATTTTTTGAAGAACATCTGGCTGCTTTATTCTATATAATGGAAGTGAATGGGAACTAGGGTTCACTGAAAAAAAAAAATATGATTAAGTTATGAAAACATATGTTTTTACATTGCTTTAACACATCAAAATAAGTTAAGCAATTTTCAGCTCATTCAGCTCATTTTTTTAATGTCAGTTTAATGTAATTTTCAAGTTGCAATGACTTAAACATCCAAGTTGATTGTACTTAAAAATTTAACAGCAACAAAATTTAACAGCAACAATATTTTTACAATGTTGTCAAACTCCAAAACGACAAAAAGCACCAAAGTAGTATCTTAAAAATGGACTTGTGCTGTATTCCAATTAATTCCTTTTAAAGCCATATGTTAGCAATAAATGTAGTCCATATGACTTTTGACAGACGTGGAACTTTTATGGTGCAGTTTGAAGATTGATGCGTCCCCATTCACTTGCAAAAAATATTGCAGGATGTTCATTCAAAAAATCACATTTTTGTGTTTAATGTGGGAAAAGTTAATAATGTGAAGGTGAATAAATTATGGCAGTTTTTTTGGGGGGGGGGTCACTTTTAAACCCTGATTTCACTGCAGGTTTTCTGTATTCAGCCACTAATGGGCAACAAACTCAACGCCTAGTGTTTTACTGCAAACATTTCCTCAGACAGCATTTCTAATGTGCTGAAGCAGACTGGGCACGGCCGGCCAAAAATGATGCCTGGTTATCAACACTCTTGTATTCAGCGTACTAATGTAAATATCCAAAAGTGTAGATTTAAGGTTTTTGGTAAAGATCAGTGTCGAGCATGAACGCTAAGGAAAACATTGTCTTGATAAAAAATCTGCATGAATTTTGCATGGCCTTCTAAGGAGATTTTTAATTTTGTTTTGCAATAAGTTGGGCAAATTTTGAGACTGTCCCAATATATATTTTTGTATGTAAATGCAAGAAAAGAACAAAAATGAAATCAGAGTTTGACTACAACTTTGAGATGACAGTGACGTTTAATTATGACAGTTTTAATTGTCTTCAAATATTTTTTAGAATTGGATATTTTCAATATTGTCTCACTCAAAGCCAAAAAGCCCAACGTTTTGCTATTTATACTGTCATCGTATATAGCCTACATGTGTTCATATCCCTTCCTCTGTGTGTGTGTGTGTGTGTGTGTACATTTTAGCACATGATCTGATCGTTTTGTCCATTTTTGGTTTTCTATGTTTTTGTTCTTATGGGAAAACTCTTTTCAAAATACTAAAAAGATAAATCAATGTCAGCTTGTACATTGTCATTATAAATTACTAGTCTGTAATAAGCTTTCATATAAGGAGTATAAATACTATATTTCATAGTATTCCCCTATAGTTTTCCCCTATGGTCCAATATGCCTGTCCTGTCAGTTTTTATTATTATTATTTTATTGTTTGTGATTTCTGTCTTGGATTGTACAAATTAGGTTGACGCAAACACATACTTCTGTTGAAATCCAGGGGGTGGCGTTAGAGAGTCAATTTGTTTCACACAAAACACTCAATTGCACATTAATTTTAATTTTCTCTCTGGGCAATCTATTTAATATCTGCTCCGTTTTGAAATGGGTATTTTGATGGTGGCAGCTTGTGGCTTTAGTGTAAATTTGCCATATCATGGAATGACATATGACTGTATTTGTGGTAACATCCTTTCAGCTGAAGCACCTATATATGGAGTTTCTATCGTGTCATCTCTATGACGGCATTATTTGTAAATATAAGATGTGTAAGACTGAACAACGGTTATGATGAATACGCTTTTGTCTTATTTATTTCATATTTATTTGTTTTGTGGTCTTTTTCTTTTTAAGTCTCATCAGAATTTGTCGTAGGACTGACCTGTCTGTCCTAACAACACTGCAATATGGACTGAAAATGCTTTTACACATGTCACAGATAGTAGGCTGAGATTCACTAAACGTTATGGAGAACTTCAGGACTGGATAGCTGTAAAAACAAATGTTTGTGTGTGTATGCTAAGTACAACAATTTTATTTGATTATTTTTATACTTTAGTTTGAGGGTGTCTAATGCCCACATACCTTTCCTTAGCCTAGTCCTTTAGTTGTAGTGCTACAGGCATGTATGGTAGCTATGCACTTTGTATTCACATTATTAGAGATATATGAAGCAGGTTTTGTATTTTTTTACATATTGTACTTTTTACTTGTTCCTCAATAAATGTAACTTGTGATGGTTACACTTGTTGTGTGCATTGGTGTATACATGTATGAATTTGGCAGATGCTTTAAAAGCAACTTTTACACTCCGTTCAAGATGAACATTTTACTACGCATGAATTCCTTGGGAAGTGGACCCATGGCATTGGTAGTGCCATGCTGTTTATACAAAAACTGTAGTTAGATAATACCAATAAATAACATTAAATAAGCTAGATAGGGTAACAATGGCTATAGAGAATGGTGTTTGCAACACAAAGGTTGTGGGTTCAGTTCAGGTAATACATGAACTGCATGATGAAATACACTACTGTTTTGGGTCAGTAAGAAGAAATTAATATTTTCATTCAGCATGGATGTATTGCAGTAATCAAGTGTATAATAATAATAATAATAAATAAGACAGTAAACAGATAATAATAAGAAAATTTCTGAATCAGCATATTAGAATGATTTCTGAAGGATCATGTGACACTGAAGACTGGAGTAATGATGCTGAAACATTCAGCTTTGACATCACAGGAATAAAATAGATTTTAAAATATATTCAAACAAAAAACAATTTTAAGTTGTAATGCTCTTTTACAATATTACTGTTTTTACTGTATTTGAAATCAAATAAATGCAGCCTTGAAGAGAGCATAACCGACCCCAAACATTAACTTAAGACTTTTTTAACAACAAATGTCTGCCCCTCATGATGATATTTGAAATGGTGACACACCATAAATATCATTATTTGAACCCATTTTAGAGCATGAAGGGAAGTCAAGTAAACAATCTCAGATAGATAGATAGATAGATAGATAGATAGATAGATAGATAGATAGATAGATAGATAGATAGATAGATAGATAGATAGATAGATAGATAGATAGATAGATAGGTTAGAGAGTGCTGAGGTTGCGCGAGGGGACTGTCTGTCTGTGTTTGGCTGTGTGACGTCATGATTGCTCCTCCAGCTGAGCTGATGGGTTTCCTCTTCTCTGAGGGCATAAAAATGTGAGAGGCTGCTGCTGTCTGTCCTCTCTGTTTACCTATCGCTTTATTTCGTCTTTCCTCCAGCTCACCGAAAGGCTATCTCATTTTTGCTTTTGACTCTAAATGTGCAGCCTTCCCACCCAAGTCATCCTAACGATCTGAATCGCAGCAAACAAACTCACTCACCGGCAGAGACGCATGAGGTCGGTGAGATATCTGCGAGTTATGTTGTCACATGCATCTGTGCTTTTATTCGTCCTCTAGCAACTTATTTGCGTTCTCTGCGCGTGCATTTTGGGTGGTGGCACCCCGTCGACACTGTTTGTGGAGGATTATTCTGGAAAGCATCCAACTCGTGTCAGATAAATGCTTTCAAAGTTGCGATTTACAATATTGCAGCTGCTCTTTTAGAAATGCAAGTTATTGTTGCTTGATTTGGTGGTATGCTGGATGCATAACCTATGCTTATGGACGCCAGAATTGCATTTGACGTTCTATTGAATATTTGTAAATGGCTGACAGTAAATTATTACGGTTTACATGGTGATTTCCGGGGCTTGATTCGCCTTTTGTTGTTGCATTTGTCAGTCTATCATGTAAATGCCATGTCATGGTTGGTGAGCACTGGCGAATGTCCAGACACATGGGCAGACTTTAGCTTATGATGCAGTTATCATACAGTAGGCTATGTTCAGGCTATGCTTTTCATGCCTAACTTCTCAATATGTCTGCTGATATTTCCTTTTCCAGTATTGTTACTGAACTCCTTACGATAAACAAGGATACATTATATATGGTACTATATACATGCTTTTTAAAGAGAAAAAAAGGTTATGTGGTACAGGCACGAAAGAGCGATTATACATTAAAAGTTTACATATTTAATTAGCTTGTTCACTAAAAATGAAGTTTGTCATTTTCTAATTTTCGTTAACTAAAACTATAGTAGGCCTAGGCCAGTATCTCAATGATACTAAAATAACACAGAGGAATTTACATATAATCTGATTATACATACAGTTCCAAAGGTTTTTTTTCGCAGTGATGCCATTTTATTCTTAGTGTGAAGAATATTTTAATATTCTGAATAACCTTTTTCCACCAAGTACCTTTTGTGAAGTGGAAAGGTTCTATGCATATTCATTGAACCATTAAGGTTAAGGTTATTCATTAACCATTGATTCATTATTCATTAACCACTAAGGTTATTCATTGAACCATTGATGCATGTGAGATCACATGACACCATATTATCAAACTCTATTGCCTGCAAATAAACTGAGTTTGTGATGCTGCATTCATACCAATAGGTGTCAGTATAAAGTTTGACCACTGTGTTTGTGACATGTATTGCTAGCCTAGGGCAGTATAAAGGTGTATATACTGCACATTATTTAGTAACTAAGAAGTAATCTACCATTCCATTCTGAACATGTAGGAGTCTGTCTTTTTATTTCCACAATAAATAGTGTGACCTTTCTATTCATTCCCCGGTCTATCAGAGAGACTAAGATCATGGTTCAGCTGTCACCATCTCGGACTATAGAGACGTTGACTCCCTCAGAGTTGACCGTGGAGAAGGAGGATGGCCTGGACAGCCCTAAATCCGGGTCCCCTCGAGTGCTCACCGCCCTCCAGCTCGCCCTTAACCCGGCCGCGACCACCTACTACGGCTACGAGAAGTACATCGAGGACGGCCTCATCTGCCTCAAGCACAAGATCCGTAACATTGAGAAAAAGAAGGTGCCTTAATTATGTTATTTGGGCAGAAATGGCATGAAAGAATGAGTTTTATTATAGTAAGATGGATTTTGTTTTGTTTTACTCGTAGAGCATCAAATGACTTTCTGACTTGTCAAAACAAAGTTTTTTTGTTTTTTTTTCACAGCTGAAACTGGAAAGCTACAATGAGAGGCTGGAAAAGGGGGAAAAACTAAATAAAGACCAACTGGTAATCGTTTGTCTTTTATTTTATTTATTTTATGTGCTGCATTTTGGGAAATGGGGATTGTTTCAAGATCCCTGATGTGTGGTAATGTTGTAGGATGCTGTGGGGAAGTATGAGGAGGTCATCCACAATCTTACATTTGCCAAAGAGCTCCAGAAGACCATTAGTGCCCTCACACAAGATGTAAGGCTTATGCATTTGTAAAGTACTGCGCAGAATGGAATTGTGCTGAATGGTTCACTGGATCTTCTGATGCTCTCTGTCGTAGTTGTTGAAGGCTCAGCGGAAGGTTGTTCGCCAAGAGAAGATCATGAGGATCGAACAAGAGAGGAAGCGTCTGAGCTTGATTCTCCAGGTGCAATACGTCCTCCACAGTCTGCAGAGAGAGGACGTCCGGAGGAACTTCTGCAACGCCAGACAACATTCCCGTCACCTGACCACAAAGGACACACAGAGTTTGCTGGATCTGGCATCATTATTGGGATGCAAACGAGACCATAAGATGAGGTTTGTGCTACACCTGAGCACTATAGTCAACTTTTTATTTTTTTACATGTTTGATTTTAATACAAAGTGCTCGTCAGTGTCGTTTTTACATGGCTCTCTGGAATTCTTGATTCTGATTTGTCAAACATGACATTCTGTGATCAAGCATAGTACTAAACTTTATTACTGGAGACTAATTTCCCATATTGTTTGTCTGTTTTACCAATAAAGTCGTTTTCGTTATTTAAAAAAAGTTAAATGGGGAAAAAATATTGATTTTATGTGCTAGGTGTGTAATAGTGGGATAATTTACAGTAAAAAAAAAAAACCTCAATCCTTTGGGATGATACAAGAGCCCTCATTTATTGTGCAATAATGACTGGCTTGACTGTTGTCCTCAACATGTCTATCTGTGGGTGCTGGTTATTTTGAATGCTATCACAGTACTGTATTTGGTGTCTATTCAGCCTGTTGATGTGCTATGGTCTTCCTGTTGTTTCCTGCTCTAGTTTAGAGGATCAGATGGAACAGGCTGCTATTGTTTACTCTGAGCTGCTGGAAGGGAAAGAAAGACCAGTTGCTGGCTCGACATGTGAGTTTCTAGCTCATTCTCTGATTGTCAAATTAATTTGATTGCTTTCCATCTGTGTTATCTAATAAGCCAGTATTTTTTTTTTCCTTCTATAATTATATAAGGTCACGTTATTGCAGGTTTTTAAGTGTTTTTGTTACCAATTGTTTATACTAGTGATTTATTTTTATCAAGTCACTGGTATAAAAAAGTATTTTTCAAAAAGAATTAGAGGGCATACATTGCGCAAAATATTGTTTATTACCATTAATAATGGTAAATATATCGTATTTATTTCAAGGCATGTTGTGTGTTATGTATGTGTAATTCAGCAAAAATAACCTTTTTTATATTTGTGTTGATGAAGGTGGGTTTGAGCCTTACGAATAGGGCTGTGAAGGCTCAAAGTAAAATGTTTTGAATGTTTCCACAGATAAGCACATGAAGGAGAAGCTACTTCAGCTAGTGGACTGTGGCTTTTTTGACCACCTACCACTTCCTAAAGTTGACATTCAAGAGAAGACTGAGGCCGTAAAGGCTGACCCTCCATCTAGGCCTTGTAACCTCTCCAGTGAGATTTATTCAAATTTAAAGCTGCAGTCCGTAACTTTTTTTGGATTTAAAAATTATCCAAGATACATATTTGAGAATGCATAACCAGCCAGTGTTCAAAACTATCTGTTTGCCATAGCTCGATTCAAAGCGGTAAGCTTGTAATAATGTTTTTAACTCCAGTGGTACTGGTGGATTTCCGCGGGATATTCGAGCATGTCTTTGCGTCATTACGTCACATCTGTACACATAAAGGAGGAGTCTCGGCTAGTAGGCTATATTGCGTGTGAGGATGCTGGAGGAGATTTAGCCTTTTCTCACAGCACTTGATATAATTAAACTTATCAATTTGATGGCGGATACAGAAAGGTTCAAACGACAATCACCAGTGACAACAGATTCACCCGTTGTAAAATGCAAAAGACTTCGTTCTGACTTCGGAGTGGCTACAGAAAAAGAGACTGCAACCGGACCCATGCGAAAACAAGGATACGTATCGGAAGGACATTACATAGTCACGCAATGCTGACGTTGTTAACATTAACAATTTGAGAACAAAGTATCATTTGCACGGTTTTGTGTGATATGATAAGCGATTTTTAGATTTAATCAGCGCGATTTACTGCACTGTCAGAACCAGAACAAAAGTGGATGTTTCTTACTTGTTCAGATTACATTTTCAGGTGAAAATTCTTATGTTGGTCATACTTCCAAAAAGAAATATCTGTGATTCTGAATGCCAGTATCCACACCGGCGCGGTGACTGACAGCTGCACACTCTCCTCAAACATTGTGTTCATCCGCGCTGTGCCGTGTTGAAGTACAACTCACGTAAAGTTGATAATTCTGCGAATAAATGCAATTGCAGATTTCGAACAGAGATGGCGACAAAGAGGAAAAAGGCGGACTGCAGCTTTAACATCCAGTTTTTAATAATTTCAGCAGCCATTATTTTGCCCTAATACATGCTATTTATATTTCTGTGTTTTAGCACTGGTGAAGCTGAGCTCAAAAGAAGTGCCTCCCAAAGAGGTAAAAACAAGTGACGCTGATCCTTAAGTCTTCAACGCTATAAACTGTGTTTTGGAGAAACACAAGCAGGTCAGTAACTTCTGAATGATGGCAGTTTCTTAACAGACGATACCTACCTGAAACGAACGTCGCTGAGCGTAGACCGGATGAGAAGGCTTCGCCCCGTAACTGGAAGGATGACTTTTTGGCTATGAAGGAAAGGGAGCCACCGGACTCATGGGAAATGGAGCTTTCTGATCCTCCTGTATCCTCTCAGTCCCCCATACAGAAGCCATGGAAAGGGGCAGCAGGATTGATTCCCAAGACTACAGACATCCTTAAGAGACCCACGGTTGACCCCAAGGAGGTGAAAACCTTTCATTTTTATTTTTGTGGGACCCCCAAGTAGGATGATCCCACTTGCTTAAATACAAAGGCAGCTATATATTTTCACGAATACAGACCAATTTATACTGAATAAAGAGAAATGGAAATACAGCCAGAACAAATGATTAAAATATCTGCAAAATAACAGCGTTTACCTCACCATATCCCAATATTATTTTTTAATAAAAAAAATGTAATTTAAAGTGCACATTTTTTTTAATTGTGAGGAATATTTTGCGGACTGTAGTTTTAAAACCCATTAAAAATGTTGCTGCTTATACGACTGATCTTGTATGTTGCCAATTAGCTCAGTTGGGCAACCGTTTAATATGTAACAAGGTCGTTTAATCTCTTCACATGTTTGTCTTCTAGAAACGTCAAAAGAAGACCAAGGTGGAGCAGGACTCCAAATCGGTGCGTTATTTAGATCCAACATAAATTTGTTTTAAAGCATGTTTATCATTCTTTTTATGCTTTATACTTTCAGACTCCTGTCGCAGTGGAAGTCTTTAGTTCTCCATCTCCGTTACCACAAGACCCTGTTCAGCGTAAACAGCAGCTGGAGACTCTAATGGACCAGATCTCTGGCTCATTCAGCTTCATGCAGGCATGCATTAAAGGGGATTTTTAAATTAAAACGCAACGATACTTAATTCAATTTTCCCATTTTGGTTGAAACCAAGATCTTTTAGAAAGTAAGTGTTCGGAGACTTTTCCTCTATTCTGTTTGCAGGAGTCTCATCTGGATGGAGAAACTTCACCTGTAAACGGTCGTGCAAAGAGATGCCGTCCATCTCCAGGCTGCTCTACTCCTCTTGGTACATGAGCGCTCCATATTGAAGAAACGGTTCTCCCAAAAATGTCAATTCTGTCATTACTCGCCCTCATGTCGTTCCAAACCCGTAAGACTTTCGTTCATTTTTGGAACACAAATGAAGATCTTTTTGATAATCTGACGGCTTTCTGTCCCTCCATTGACAGCTACGCAACTTTGACACTTCAAAATGTTCATAAAGAGATCTTAAAAATAATCCATATGAATAGTGGTTCAGTCCAAATTTTCTGAAGAGTTTTGGTCGCTTTATATGATGAACGGATTTAATTTAGGCATGAGGGAGAGTAATAAATGACAGTTTTAATTTTTGGGTGAACTATCCCTTTAAGTTACACCTTAAGATTAGGATGGTGTTAAACTGATATTGATAGTCTGTTGCTTTTAACATGCAGCACAAAGGGAACTGCCAAAAAGCCCATCAGATAGTCTGCCTCCGTCCCAGCTGGTGAGCATGTTTGACTTGATATGAGAGCTTATTTTGTGTATAACAATAAAAACATGAGGTCAGCATTCTGTCTGACCAACCGCCTAATATGACATGTTGTGATCTTCAGAGCACTCCTTTACAGATCCTGCTGTCTGGCGAGGGTAAAGGCTGTCTGTCAAATGGAGACCATTCTATAACCAGCTCTGACCTGGATCTACACCATGAAGATAAGCCACATGTAAAGGTTTTTTTTGTGTGATGGTACAGTTATTGAATGTAAGATACCAAAAAGTAGGCTTGTAATCTTAAATATGCTATAATGGTATCTGTTGTGTTTGTTAGAAGCAAAGTGAGGGCTTCACCTCTCCTCCACTGTACCGCAGGGGATCCTCCATCTCAGTCCCTCTAGAAAATCAAGGCACTGTACAGGTAAGAACTTCACGGACAAATAATTCTCATTCATGCTAAACGGAGCGCTCCTAAACCTTACAGAGATTGAACTGGGGATTTATTATTTGAGATTTGAAGGTTCAAATTTAAAGGAACACTCTGACTTTTTGGGACTTTAGCCTATTCACCTTATCCCCCAGCGTTAGATAAGTCCATACATACCTTTTTCATCTCCGTGCGTGCTATAAGTCTGTTTGACGCACCCACCGCTAGCCTAGCTTAGCACAAAGACTGGATGTTAATGGTTGCAGCTAGCATACTAATCCAAATAAGTGACAAAATAGCGCAAACATTTTCCTATTTACATGTTGTGATTTGTATAGTCACAGAGTGTACAAAAAACTACGTCACATGAGACACAGACATATTTTAACAGTATAAATACTGGGAACTATATTCTCTGAAGGCGAAGCACTGCTACTTGGGCGGAGTGATAACCGCAGCACCTGAGACGTACCGTACCCAAACTCTGAACGAACTCTCTGCTCCTCACCACGGCGCGTCTCAGGTGCTGCGGTTATTACTCCGCCCAAGTAGCAGTGCTTCGCCTTCACAAATCACAACATGTAAATAGGAAAATGTTTGCGTTATTTTGTCACTTATTTGGATTAGTATGCTAGCTGCAACCATTTACATCCAGTCTTTGTGCTAAGCTAGGCTAGCGGTGGGTGCGTCAAACAGACTTATAGCACGCACGGAGATGAAAAAGGTATGTATGGACTTATCTAACTCTGGGGGATAAGGTGAATAGGCTAAAGTCCCAAAAAGTCGGAGTGTTCCTTTAAGGTTTAAAAATGTTATTTAGAGGTTTTAGTTGCGTACATTTGATTTGGATATTTAATATTCTTATTTCCACTTTTTACGTTTAGATTACTTTTGCCTTAATCTAACGCTCACTTAAAGTTAATCTTTAAAATCCCAATAGTCTAATCTTTACCAAATATCAAAATGAATGGCAGTTTTTATACTGTACACTGTTGTGGTGCCTAAATTCCTTATTTAGCCAAATCAATATTTTTAAATTCTAAGGTAATTATCTGTTTCAGACAGAGTTTTAAGTTTACATTTGCAGCCTTGCAAGAAAGCGATTTTTAAAAGTTTCTAACCTTGAGCTCTGGAGATTTAGAAGACTTTGTGGCTTCAAGTGGAAGTTTAAATGACTGGAGATGTCATGTGGGGCCATGGAAATGACCATCCAGTGCTTTTAAAACCTTGTTTGGGATTGACCTTATTTTTTGTATGTGTCAGGCAGGAAAGCAGATGTTATGCAATGGAGTATCAACCTCTGTGGTTGCGCAGACATTTACAACCCCACCTAGTCACCGATCCATCAGTGCAGAAAACAACTTCCACAACATCCACTCTGTGAGTATAATGTTTGTCTCCATATGCTTCCATTTATTTAATGCATAACATCCTATCTGAAGCCTCTCCTCTCCTCATCAGGTGTTTAATGTGGCATCTTTGCCAATCAGTGAGAGCTCGGGGATGAAGTCGGATGAGAGTGGGTTCTCTGAGTCTATGCATCTGAGTTACACGTCAGCCAAAACCCAGAGTTATTCCACCGCCAGCACCCAGACGCCACCTGAACTCAACCTACCTGAAGATGACCTACAGATTGGTAAAACTTGACCTACAGATTAGTGACACTCGCACTCTCAGACTGTTAGATTTTGCCTCTCTAATCATGCGTGTTTTTGCAGAAGGCCAGTACCAGCTGGAGTGTCCGGTCAGTACAGGTGGTCACGTATTCTCTACCCCTCAGCCACAGTCTCGTCTGAGTCAGTCCTGCTACCCCCGTGGTACAGCGAGAGGTATGACGCGTGCAGGCAGGGGTTTGGGTCACTCATACAGATCACCTGGTGGCTACAGAGGTACCTTCCTCTTCCTCGGTCTCCTTCACTCTCTGTTACGCTTTCTTTCTTTTTTTTATTCGTATTGTGTACAGATCACGTAATGGTGGTGTATTTTCTGTTCAAAAATTTAACACCGAGCCAATGCATGAGTTCTCTTGTTCTTGCATTATTTACTATACTCTTTGTTATCTTTGCAATTTGAAGCAGACCTGGATTAATAGTATAAAACCTGCATTTTTCTTTCCTTCTGACTGATTTCCAGGTGGTTATGAGGCCTACAGAGTGAATGTGCGTTCTCCAGGAGGGGGCTTCATATCCCAGACACACAGAGACCCTGGATCTGCCTTTTATGTGTCTAGAGTAAGTTTGTTTTTACTGATTTACTTTAGTTTTGTGTTGACACTAAGCAAATAAATAATGTATATTCACTTTGTGTTGTAGGCATTGTGTTTATATATATATATATATATATATAATATTATTGGTAATGTTTAGGTTTTTTATTTAAAGTTGCAGATTAGTTGTATTATATAAAGAACAAACAGTACATTTTTATATTTATTTTGTGCTGTAGGCATTATTATATAATATATTTATGCTTTTAGTTTACTTTGTTATAGGTCAGGGTTACTAATGCCATTTGTTATATAAACGGCTAAATTAAGTAAGTTTGTTTTCATTGTGTTGTAGGCAATATTTTAGTTTATATATTATACTGGGTCAGTTGTGATTGTTTTACCAATAGGAAAACGGGTATCAGCAGAGCTTCAAACGAGGTGGAGGCACAGCAACTCAAAGGAGCAATGGTATGAGCAATCTCCCATACTGGTATTTTCTAATACTGAGGAACAGTGTTGAGGGTGATGCTTTACAAGTAATGCAAGTTATGCAACCCAATTACTTTCAAGTAACTAGTAAAGCATTCATTTTAAATTTGCAACAAAATATGAGTTAGTTTTTCAAATAAGAACTTTTTTTTTTATTAAAAAATAATTAAAAAAAACGCCAGCCCAGGTGAGAAAGGAACGCAATGCATTACTTACTATGCATTTAGTTACTTTTTTTAGGATGTAAAGCAATGTTTTAATGCATTATATTTAAAAGTAACTTTCCCAAACACTGGTGAGGAATGGCTCATAATAGATCAAAGTGATGGTCTGTCTTTGTCTCTTCCCCTCTTTAAGCTGGTTGGAGTGACTCTTCTCAGGTGAGCAGCCCAGACCGGGAGGGTGCGTATCCGCTCGACTCAGGAATCAGTGACACTCTCTCCATCCCGCCAATGGAAGTGCCCATCACACCCCAGGGCCCACACACTATGATGCCCGTACACGTGTACCCACTCAACCAACTGCGTGTGGCTTTCTCCGCCGCCCGCGCGGCCAACTTCGCCCCTGGCACTCTGGATCAGCCGATCGCCTTCGAACTGCTGCACACCAACCTCGGCGAAATGTTCGACACGACCAGCGGCCGTTTCACCTGTCCTGCTGCCGGCACTTACGTCTTCATCTTCCACATCCTGAAGCTTGCCATCAGCGTGCCCCTGTACATCAACCTCATGCGCAACGAAGAGGTGATGGTGTCCGCGTATGCCAATGACGGCGCTCCGGACCACGAGACTGCCAGTAATCACGCTGTCCTCCAGCTGTTCCAGGGTGACCAGGTGTGGCTGCGGCTTCACCGCGGCGCCATCTACGGCAGCAGCTGGAAGTACAGCACTTTCTCTGGTTTCTTGCTGTACCAGGACTGAACATCTCTCTAAATGGCCACAAAAAGGGAGGATGGGGCGTTTTGGATGTTCTTTGAAAGCTACTCTGCACTTTATTGCGCTTTTGGTTACGCATGGTGCAACTGCATGTTTGAAAGATGTTCAATAGTACAAAAGCCAGTGTTAAAGCTAATGTAGGATGTTTTGCTGGTGAACGTTTACATGGGTTTACCTGGGTTGTTCTTTTTATTTGATTATTATCATTATTTAATATACTTATATTTTTTTCTTTCTTTCAGTGTTTTGAAAGTCTTTACTGTGTACTTGGGTGCACAAACCCGTAACCCAAAGTAGCTGTATTGTGCACTAAACTGAAATCAGTTCAGAAACGTCTTCTGGTGTTTGTTAGATGGCCCTGTATTCACTCCTGTTCATTTTAGATGAGAGGTTTCCCAGCCATACGAAAGTCTGCAACATGGTGCCTCTGTTTTTTGGGTCGTTGAACAAACGCATCGCTTTGCAAGAATGGAGGATTTTCTTTTTCTTTCTGGTAATACTTGACATGTTGAGCACTTTAAAATGACTTGGTGGCCTTGTTGAGGTTTTGGGTGTATCTGTGCTAATCTGCGTGTTTGTCTGTGGAATACTGTGAGTGAATCAGTTGAACACTGACTCCGCCTAGAAGGCGTTTAGGCCAAAATTGCTCCCTCTTGTGCCTGAAATAAAAATGTGCAGTTCACTTCTGTGATGGCTTCATTTGTGCATCAAGTAAAGTTGTGAATGCGGTTTTAAGTTTGCAGCTGGCCTAGCTGTTTAAGTTAGTACCAATGCTTAGGATGTTTACCTCTATTAAAACTAGTCTCTCAGAAATTAGGCTTCTGCTAATTTTAAACCCAGGTTAAAACAGGTTTTCTGTTATTGTTATTATTGGAGGAAAGTAAGCTTACAGCATGCATCTGATGGTGTCAGAATGCTGACAGGTTTGTATGTTTCGACACGTTCTGATTTAAAAAAAAAAATTGTTTCCACATCTACCATTATTAAACTTATGAGTTTTTGTAATGTGGTTTTCATTATAGCTCATCTCCGTATAAATTGATCTTTACATATGCATACGTTTAGCTGACTTTATGGGTGTTTTTATTCAACTAGAAGTCCCTTTAAAACGTTTACATGTAGGCTACTAGCTCCAGGTCAGGTTCATATAGTTTTTTTATTTTTTTGGTGACACTTTACAATAAGGTTTCATTAGTTAACATTAGTAAATGCTTTAGTTAACAGGAACTGTCAATGAACAATACTTCTATATTGATTAATCAATCTTAATTTCAACATTAATACATTATTAAAATCAAATGTTGTATTTATCATTAATGCACTGTGGACTAACAATGAACGACACTGTTTTTAACTACATTAACAAAGATGAATAAATGCTGTAACAAATGTATTGCTCAATGTTAGTTAATACATTACAATGAGGTCTCATTTCTTTAACATTATTTGAAGTGTTACTATTTATTTAATTAAATGTATATTACAGTTTAAAAATATAATTTATTAAATTATGTAGTTTAATTGCAGTTTGTGATGACATTTTTGTTTGAAATTACATTTTAAAATAATTTGTTCAAAACAAGGTGTATGTATATATTAAATCCAAAATATTTCTCACGGTCTGCATACAATTACAACTTGACTGAACATACAATAAAGTAGGCTATGTTTGTTTCGGATGTGTTTATTACACATGTTTTTATGCTAGATGTAATGTCCTTGCGATAAACAAGTCTATAAACACCCTTATATTAGAAAGTCCCTTGGAAAGGGTTAATCGCAAGGATAGTGCATTGTCTCGTTGTGCATGTTTAAAAATATTTAAGATGAGCACAAGAGGCCGCTGTTGCCCAACTCGTTGATCGCGTCTGTACTGTGCGTAATGGAAAAACAAACACATTCGTTCAGTACTGCACGCATCTCTCGCGAGACCTTCTACTCAGATGACTTGAGTCCTGCCATGGGCCATAAATGTCACAATGCACAAATGTTTACTTTGCATTTCTCAACTTTAACAGCCGAGTGTGTGTGTCCCCGTGTAGCCTATTCAAGTTATCTTCTACTAGTAGCCTAATGGCTTTTAAGATTACGGTTCATATTGATTTTGTCGTGAGATCATTTGTGCGATGCTGACTGGCTTTTTTTTTACTATGGTAATATATTTATCTTTGTGGTTATGACACTTGTACATTGGTTATACATGTGTTTATCAGCAGAGAGGGTGTTGATATAGGCTTTTTTTTTGTTAGCTCAATTGAGTTGACTTAGACTCAATCTGTCTAGTCCATGCTAAGCAAATCAAAATTCTGGGAGAGTGTCTGATATTATAATCCCTAAACTGAAATTTAACCTCCTGCTGGTCTGTAGGGCAAGTCTGTCTGCAGTCGACCTGCCCAGACTTGTTCATAATACCCTCCCCTTAATTCTTAAACCTAGTTTTACCCCCCTGTATTAGGTCATGTCCCTTGTGAACCCACTGCTCCTCCTCACCCTGTGTTCTGCGAGGTCCCGGGATGGCTGGGATGGTCAGCTGTCGTCTTGCATGCCGTGGTCTGGAGATCCTTTGCTGGACTTTGGATAAAGGGACTGTACTGTTCATTGTGTCCTTTTAAACAAACTGTTCTTTATAGGCAAATGGGTTGTCTCTTTGCTTTTGGGGTTTTGGGGGAATGGCAGGAGAGTATAAAATTCCCACTTCTCTTTTTTCTAGTTTCAGCCTGAGGCTTTTCTGATTTTCAGTTCAAAACAATTTTGAGGTCATGAGTCATATTCTGAGAAAGTGTAGGTTTGGGAAGACACCATATTCCGTGGTTATATCCCTGAGATTACCGTCACAACCAAAAGTCAACAAAAAAACTAGGCATACTAAACAGCCTGCAGGCACAAAGAGAGGGTAAAGTTAACTAATCGAACATGACTATTTCTTTCGATTCATTTTTGTTTTTTCAACAGTACCCAAATTAATACTTGGAATTCAGCCATTTATCAGTGGAAGACAGCAGCTAAATGGTGTTTTCACAAGCCACTAAACGTGTGAGACTAAACAGTCATTTCTTCACATTTCCTGCCTTTAAACTTAATGCTGGTAATTTGTCATCTGCCACAATGTCATTCTTGAGAGAAACTAAGTGTACTTTGTGAACAAATCGACAGGTGACAGTGTCATTAGCAGAGATTTTGTGAACAAACAACTTTATGAAACTTTATAACAACATTGTTGTACTGTCTGTTCTAGCAAGTATAACATGTGTGACACTCCTGGCACTGTTTCAGGCATTTAAACAATCACGCGAGGTACGTCATCAGATTACTTTTTCAAGTAACTAAGTAACACATTAGGGTACTTTTAAATTTACCAAAAATATCTGAGTTGCTTTTTCAAATAAGTAATGCAGGTTACTTTGTTCTCTTATGTATTGACTGACAGCTCTCCTGTCCTCATGTTGAGAGAAATCAGGAGTAAGTGCAGAGGCGCTGTGTGAACATGATGGATATTGTTGACTAAATGTGAGCATCTACTCATCTCACTTGTACAAAAACAGATTCAGTATTCCTCAAAATTAATAAAAACAGCGAACTGCAATCTCAGAATATCATGCAAATCTGCAATGAAATGTTTCATTTGATTGAGCTGTGTCCTGTGAATTTGGTTACCTTAATAAGCCTGAGGCTTATTGGCTGAATGCGAAATCGTCCCCTATACCCTCAAATAGGGCATTATTTGAAGGGACGGCCATTTGTAGTGGTGTCTGAAACCATAGTGGAATGCACTCATTCAATCCCATATATATTGCACGGCAATAATGAGTCAACAGTCAATGTACGCTCAACGGCTGTCTGAATTCGCTCAGTCAGTTTCATTCACTCCTTTAAGTGAACTGTATTAGTGGACTAACGTGGAATAGTGATTGAGGGTTTAGGGGGCGATTTTGGATTCAGCCATTGATTCCATGTTTGACGTGAAAGCGCCTTTACATTTGCCAAAATATATATATTTTTTGTCATTAAAAAACAAACAAAAAAGCCCAGTCCAAGTGAGATTTTTTTTTAAAGTAACGTAACATTACTTTTCAAGTAACACAATTAGTTCCTTTTTAGGGAGCAACGCACTATATTGTAACATTACGTTTGAAAGTAACTTTCCCCAATCGAGTCTTTATATTATATGCAGTGGGTCCCTCATGGGGGCAGCCATTTTGAGATCACATGACCAGCCTACTGGAAATTCTACTCATTTGATCTTGTTAACCCCTGTTATTGGACATTTTCGTCCGTAGAATAAATTATTCATGACTGAGAGCATTTCTTGGCAACTGAAAATTTTTGCATTTTGCATTGAATATTAATTACTCATTGTACCTTTAAGGTGCAAATCAGGATAGTAATTGTTTTTCTTGTTTTTGACTGAAAAATATATATTGTTAACATTAGTTTATGTTATTTGGCTAATACATGCACAGCATTTGAGTTACAAAAAACTGACTGTCTGCAAAACAGGAAAAGAAACATTTGCGTATTTGCACCATGATCTGAGTTTGGTGTCACATTTTTGCATGTTAGAACCTACCACTGTCTTGTCCAAGCCAATGTTTTTCATATGTTTCCAATGAAAAAGTCTTTTTATGGCTTGCATCTGTGTAAGAAGCGAGTAAAAGGATTTTAGAATTACATTCCATAAAAATCACTTACGACAATAAGTTTGTGTTGTGGGTTGGACTGGTGACAGACTAAACTGTATGGCCAGTTTTAGAGCTACTATTGAGAGAAGTTAATAAATACAGATCCATCCATTGCTGTATACATGCTCATTGTGGATGATAAATTAAGATTACTTGGATCTCCTTTTGTCAGCAAGACTTGTTGGCTCATGTTGGCTTTTATCATTTTGTCGTTGTGTGTTTACTTCTCTTTTTTTTAATCACTTTTAGCACTGACATTCTCAAAAAAATTCCTTAGCGGGGAAAGGCCTTGTGCATAAATTCCCAGCATAACATAGCAGGAAATCCTCTTTCAGAGGTCCAATCCAACACATTTGCTCTGTGTCTTGCATTGTTGCAATCTGCAGTGCATGATGGGATGGGGTAAATATCCTATTTTCCGCCCAGGAAATAAACTCTGTAAGCTGCGATGGGTTTGTGATAAGATTTGCATCTGCATATCCTGCCCTGTTGTTTTAATCTCTCTGATAACCATCTTCTCATAACAAGTAGTAAATTGAAAACAACTGAATTTACAGGGAACTGCAGAAATGTGTTGCCGAGGAGCATGTAGAATGTAAGTGACCCAAACACACAGCGGAGTGAATGTTTTCTCACGGCCGTGACAGAATTCAGGCATTTCGCACAAAAGAACGGTTGTGCGCCTTGTGCTTACACCTCTATGAGGAGGTCCAGGTGTGTGATTCTAACCTGAAACTGTACCCAGTCATTTCCACTCATCCATGCAATTTCACTCCTTCATGTTGGACGTATATTTTTCCTGAACCTCCTCCCATCCTTTAACTCCTCCTCTCAGTGTCAACATGTGGCCCTGCAGTTAGCTCAGTGTCATGCTATGTGCTATGGAAATATGGAATAGCATATTCTTACTAATCCAGTAATAGCATTTATAATGTTAATGTTAAGTTTTCTGTATGCAGTATGGATGAGCTACTATATTTGCCAAAATATGCAGGACAGTATG